CAAAATCCTAATTGATGTTCTTATGAATTCTTTTCATTCCCTATTTAATGCTACATTTAACCTATGATACTCATCTCCTATGATGTAGGTCATGCAATTAATTAAGCATTAAATGAGTTTTGGAGATGCGTCACTGCCTTCAGACATCTTCACACCCATGTGGAACCGAGATCAGATTCAGATCCAGGTTTTTTTATTCCAGTCCTGTGAATGTGTAAAGGGAATTGGAATTGAAAATTGGTTTGAAAGAATGAATTTAAGGTGAACTGGAACTTTTGGAATTATAGTTCAGCTGGGTAGCTGCGTCAGCATGCGTAGGCTGCAAAGGAACAAGTAATAGGTTTATTCCATGCTGAAAAAAAGAAGAAAGAGAACACAACGTTTCGGCCGTGGAGCCTTCTTCAGGTGTGAGAGAGACAGGGCAGTAGGCAAAGGTAAAGTAGCGGGAGAACAAAGGTTGGGAGGGAGGAGGAGTGAGAGGCAGGAGCAGGGGACAGAAAGAGAGGCCAATCAAGAGGTGTGAAGTCAGAATGGGTGCAGAGAGGTGTGAAATGAAACTTCCAATGAATGGAGAAAATTTAAAAGAACAGTAATCTGTCGTTAAGGGAAGGGAGAATGTGTGATCCTAACTGCAGAATAATTTTAGTTTCGGTGGTCATGGTGACAAGCCAATATGCTGAGCTGCTGGGACTTGATTCCAAGAATAATCAAACCCAGATAAAGACAATCAGCAAAAAAAAGTGCCTGGAGAGATATCAGCTGCTCCTGGAGAGGTTTCAGGAGTGTGAAGCTCCTCACTCGTCATACTTTTCCCAATGGGCACATCACTCAAACTTCGAGCTGTGAAGTCATGTTTCAGCATTATGAAGAAGAAGCATGACCTATATTGCTCCTCTTGCTTGGGAGGATTTCAAAACTCTCTGATAAGAAGGTGTATGCAACATGAAATTACATTTTACGTTACAGGTTATGTATTCCAGAACATATTATAACATTTATAGAATGTAACGTTTGGTGACTTGTTCTGCTTAGGAGATATGTTACGCCACTGCCTGTTTTGTTTTGTTTGCTAGACCACAATATGGAAAAATATGAGTCTAAAACAAGTTGACATTTAAAATTACAGAAATGTTAAGATTCACAAAGAAAACTGAGGATATTTTGCTGCTGATCACTTTTCTTTAGAAAATATAATCCCTGCCCTTCTCACCACTATTTAAATACACTCAGTTCTGATCACCTGGATTAAATAAACACCATTTGCAAACTTCTTAGGCCATTCTTCTGTTCATTTCAGCCAGTAACATTTAAGGAGGGTTTCATTCAAACAAACGGAAGGGCCTGTGTACACATTTCAAAACCCCTTTGGTTTGGCCATTGTGGTTTATGTTATTTCCAGAGAAGGGCTAAGACTCACCATCCTGTTGAAAAATGAAACCCTCCTTACACAAGTACCGTCTTTATTTAAGACATGGCATTGAGGAACCGAGGATTTTTTAAAGCTTTATATAAAGTTGAGACCTTCATGGGTTGTTACTGAGGTAAACATGTATGAGATATACACTGTATTGTTGTTTTTCTCACTAAGAAAATGAGGTACCCAGTAATAGACCCAGGTTTATTTCTATAGTTTATCTTGATGTTTAGCCACTGTAGACACTTCATGAGTAGATTTTCTTCGGTGGTAGAATTTCAGTCAGATTTTCACGCGAATTCTCACTTGACACTGGTGCACTAACAAAGCACATTAGCAAAGGTACCCCCAAACCCCGTAAACAACTACTTGTTCGTTTTAAGGAATCAGAAAATCCGACGTCTTCGCACTTCATTTTCTGAATACCTTTCCTGCCGTAAAGAAAAGCTCACCACCCCAGCTGAATTCCTAACGCCTCGGTATCCTGTGAAGCTCAGAGTGACCTCACCGGTCCTGCAGTCACAGTATGCGGGCTGGCTCTGATAACACAGCTATGTGTAACCCACAAGGCCAAAATATCAACACTCGGGCAGCCTTCTTCCATAAAATATCTTAATTAGGTCTGACTGTGATGCACCATGGCCAGTTTCTCTCTCCGATCACTGCATTAAGATAACCTAACTGAAATTTTAGGGGAAATGCAATGCACGGTCCTCATTTCAATTACCACATTCTGAACAGAATATCAGCAACAGCACTTCAGTACATCAATCATGTCACGTACAAACTCATGGCGTGATTTCTCATCAGAATTAATGCATACGTGGACACCAGGAGCTGCTCTGTTTCTCTGCTGAGCGATGAAGGCTGGACGTCCCGCTCTGAGCCACCGCTAAAACTACCCATCCCGACAGCGGAAAGCAGAAGCTCGTACACACCTGTCCAAGCATGACAGGTGTGACCCAGACAGCTGACAAAGGAACCCGAAGTGAGATGCCCGCACGAAAACCGGCCTCGTCTGACCCGGCTCTCTCGAAATAACGTGTTTTTGCCGAGAAACACAGATCCCGTCCCGGCACAGCCGGCCTGCTCACCTCTGTTTCATGAGATGTTTTATTCCAAATAAGCCCCTCTCGTCGATTTTCTTCAGGATTGTTTTGAGCGCTTCTCTCTTGCTCTCCAGCATTCTTCCTGCCGGCCCGGGTCCTGACAATGACACGCTGCCGCCTCTCAGCTGTTACTCTCAGCTGTAGTGGTTTTTTTTACTCCTCCATTGAAGCCGCAAATGGAAATGAGCTCCAATCGGACCAAGAGGAGCAGCCAATAGGAAGCCGAGACGTCATCGTGTAGGGCGTCAATTACGCCTCTTCAAGCATATCCCTTGGACAAATAAGGATGGAGATCAAGTTTCCTTCGAAATTCTGCAAGATTAGCAGAATAAATGGCTGTCCTGTAAAACCACCGACCACCAAAATGCATATAGAAAGGAGTCTCTGTGTTGTAGAATTATAATTGCATTTATATTAATAGTCATTATGATTTACAGAAAGTTGCGTTGAAATACACTTCAAAAATGTAATCATTGGTTTATACTTTATCCATTTTTAATCAAAACCGACGCAGCCCCTGTGACGAAAAGCGTAATAACACCCTTTCGTGGTTGCTCATACTGTATGAGTAAAGTAATAAAAATGGAACAGAATACTGCATATATAAATATCGAAAAAAAATGAAACAGGATGGTCTGGTAGGAAGGCCGAGGTGCTTTTATTTTGCTATTATTTTAATAATTAACTATTATTATTTTAAATAACAGCACCTGTTTGTTAAAATATGAGACCTGATTTTGAATAACAGATCGCTTTCTGTTGGCAATTTACATACAGAGCAGGGCCAACACTGAGGGAATTCAGTAGGGCTTTTAACATTGCTACAGCTCTATCTTCTGCTGCTTGAGCAAAAAACTGTGGAACTTGACAGCTGCTGAAAATGTACAGTCGTTTGAAAGACAAACCCACTTAAATCTCTAGGCCACCCGGACTTGATTCTGCCTCGAGAGAGTAAAGGTGGGATGTCCTGCTCCTTACCTCATGGGGATCAATCCCTGGAATGAACAATTTGAAGCAGTCAATCAAACCTACCCAGCATGCTTTTGGACAATGAGAGGAAACCAGAGCACCTGGCGAAACCTCACATGGACCAGGGATACATTCTGAGGAAAGTGATTCATTATTAATAATGTTTAATTACTGTTTGGGTGTGGGCACATGGCCTTAAGCACTCAAAATACACTGTATCTTAATTGATATATCAGTACAAACATGATCTTGTGAATTATTCAGCCTACATATGAAGTATGAAATAACTGTTATGCCATCACATATTGAGCTGCTGTGATCAAAAGTGTAAAACTGGGGGCTCTCCAGAGACTCAACCAGTAAAGGTGCTCACTCACAGACTAGATTGACCTCTGTGGAGCAGATATCACTACTTACAGCCTGGGTTTTAACATTAGCCAGTAGTGACCAGGATTGATAATGGTGGAGAATTGACATTGAGATTCCTGTGCAGCACAGACTCCCTGTGCAAAAAGCAAGGACACCAAGGACACTTGCTGGCTTGGAGTGACAAAGATGTTCCACTGCTGCCATGGGACAGACTCTCCTGGTCAGAGCTGTGGACCCTGCAGCTTGGAACAGCTGACGGGCTGGGCCTGTGCCTCTGCTTCTCCCCTGACAAGGCACAGCAGCTCTACCTTCCAAAATCACATTGTAGATGGAAGCTAATAACACATAATTGGTGCTTTCAAATACAGATGAAAAGAAACAGTTAATGCTGTGGGATTAATGAGATGCAGAAGATCATGAAAAGCAATTCATTCACTAAGAGAAGGGCACCAAAATGGGACATCACAGGTCTCATTTTTCAGAAGGAAGAAGTCCCACTGGGCATCTTTACAGTCCTCATCTAGTTGCCTCATCTTCTCTTGAGATATTTTGATTTTGTTTTCTCACGATGACATCTTTTTTCAGAAGGATGTACGGGGGATAGACCGCTGTGAAGGTTTGTTTGAGTCTGCTGCACTAAAAGGATTGATGGGTGATGTTAATCAACGGAGGAAATTGCTTTAAAATTCGAGCTTACCTGTAGCTTTTTAAACTAGCTGCAAGGAAGACATGTGGAGAGTCATGCCATGTCTTTAGACATAAACAATCAAGCCTTCACACCATGATCAGAGGGAGTCCTTCTGGGTGTCTTCTGTTCACAATTGCAGCAGCAGCAAGTCTGACTCTTCTAGGCTGACTGGTTTTGTCTTCTGTTTTCACAAAGTTGTTTTGTAATGTTCTGTTTTTGTGAACTAGCCACAGTCTTCTGCCCCTTCTCGGGTGTCACAAAAAGATCACCTGTTCCATGGGTGTTGAGTTTCCTCCTTGCGAGGGTAACCTTAGCCTTTATCCCATTACCTGGCCATGGTCATCATTAATTCAGTGGCCAGGCAGGCGCTGGGTGCCTGACAAGCAGCATGCTGCAGGGGTCCAGGAGGAAGAACAGAGAGCTGGGGCCGATGCAGAACGGAGAGCCCATGAGCCCACAGACACAGCGTCCACAGGGGTCCGGGGAAAACTCCAAGCAGATGCCCCAACCCGCTCCACCCTCACTTCCACCGAACCTGCCTTCACCTCCCCCCCCTTCGAGGCCCAGGCTAGTCTTCCACACCCAGCTGGCCCACGGCAGCCCCACAGGCCGGATCCAGGGCTTTACCAACGTCAAGGAGCTGTACACGAAGATCGCGGAGGTTTTTGACATCTCTCCCTCAGAGGTAGGCAACCATCTGCTGTGTCCGTGGTTTCCTTTTTAATGGAGTGCAGGTAGGTCTATATTCCTTGCTAGTTGTCTGGATGATGTCAGAAGGCTGTCTTTCTCTTGTTTGGGTTGAAAAACATTTCCTTGAATTTTTGACTCACCCAATGAGGCCTAAAAGGCCTGGATTCCACAATATCAGGTATTTCTGTTAAGTCTTTTAGAAAAAGGAAAAGAAAAGATACATAACAGTGGGGATATCTTAGAAACCACTAGAGATGATAACAACATTGTTAGAATATGACCAAAATATTGTGTCACATCCTTATATGTTAAACTACAGATTGTGGCCAGACTTCGGAAGACATTAAGTCATTTAAAGGTTCAGTTCCACTAATCTTGCAAATGTTTGGTTTGGGGTATTTTCAACATATCATAGCAGCAGAGCTCAGCTCACAATGAAGAATGAACATTGTAGTTACTGCTTTTCAACAAATGGGATTAAAAGGTGTTTAATTGTCTCACTTCATTCTTAATTTGTCGATCAGGTCCTGTAATATAGTAGAGAGTACTAGAGTTTTCTGAAGATAATAATAATGTCACCTAGGTTGATCTGCTCAGACAAACTGTATCTGCAACAGACCTTAGTGTTAGGCTTTGTCAGTGTTTAAATGAATTCATAGCCATTAGTAATCTGGATTAGATAAACGGTTTGTTTTTCTACAGACCTTTTTGACTAGAACTCTGGGAAAGTGATTTCCAGGTTACTGCGAAATTCGGGGAAATAAATTGAATTTGTACACTTTGATTTATGATTTTAAAGACTTTTTCAAGAAACAGGGTGCAAGCAGTGCAATAAAATGTAAAAAATAACCGTGGCAAATGGTATTCAATTTAAACACCTATATTCAAATGCTGTTCCACAGTAATACCTTTTTTGAACAGAGCAATGACAAATCACTCATTTTAAACATTTCCCAAAACTGAATGAAAAATGGTAATTTTGCTTTTATTCTAAAAATGAGATTTCCCATTGATGAATCAGGAGGAATAATCTGTAGGACCACAATGTCATTGATTCCTCAAATACCTTCCTCTCTCTTAATGTCTCTGCATTTTCCAAATAGTGAATGTTTTGTTTTACAAATAAATTATTTAATCAAATAAGTTTAACCAAACACAGCAAAGGGGGGTTTTGAAATTTGTGTTTTCTGAATTTTACTGTTCTTTTTATTTTTGCACAATACATGATGTGTTGTTAAGATTACAGTTTCACAAACTTGCCTTTTGCTACAAAGACAGAACCTGTGAACATGTCTCAGAATAGACTAAGGCACCTCCTAGTCAGAGTTGCAGTATTTGACTAGGAAAGCCTTTTTCCTTCATAAATATTTGTTGAGCAAATTGAGCAATGAGAAAGTGTTTGTGTGTTCATTTCAGACAAATAAAAGCAAGGTCCCGTACATTTTGCTCACTGTAGAAATGCTTTGTATTCTTTCTTAACAAATAACTTGTTATGTTCAAAATCCTAGATAGATGGGACGTTAGAGATGAATCTGTTCACTAAGGTAGATGATAAGCAACAGTGGAAGAGACTGCAATTTCTAGGTTATTATTTGGTTTGGGGTGGATGTGAGTGAAAGACAGCATGGTAGATTTTGCGTTGTGCTCCTGGACAGCTTCACTAAGAAATATGAGCCAAAGCAATCCTTCTTAAAATTTTAATTCTTAAATATTTATTCCAGGCTGAATAAATACTCACATTTTATTTCCTGCTATGTCCCTTCAGTAAACCAAAGATTAGTCGCTGTGCAGAGAGGAGTGTAATGGAAGCTCCTGCCGGATGACTGATTCAGACAGTACTGAATAGGAAGACTGTTCATTTATTCATTTTTGTTTGTTTGTAAGCTTGTAATGAAATTCAGAGCTGTTAAACCTTTCACTGGTACTCATCTGTACATTCTGTACTCTGAAGCATATTCCTGTCGACAGGGACATGATGCCAGGGAGAAATTCAGAGCATCGTTTAGCGTTTGGACTGCATGTGTTTTGAGATTTAGAAAGGAGGCAGCAGAGGGGGCTTTCGCACGTTTGAGTGTAGGCTGACGAAGTGTTGCAGCCATTAAAATGGCCATTATAGCCACTAGAGCATCCTGGCTGTCTCCATAATACAGTTGGAAATGGCCATTATTTCTGTCTCTATACTCTCCCACTATTGACATCCCCAGCTGCTGACAGACATGGCTCACTTGCAGAATGTGGACACTAGCCAAAGGGTGTCCAGTCCTGGTCCTGGGCAGCCCGTGTTGTCTAGAATCCAGCTCCTGACAACCTAAACAGCTGGTGCAGTTACTGGCTTACCTGGACCAATTTAATTACTTTTCCAAGCTCTTCAGGTACTGCTGCTTTAAAGCCTTGAAACTCAACCGAGACTCCCCTCCTTTCCAGGAGCAGCGGTGGACAGTCCTGTCCAGCCTTGTGATGCCCTGCCAGCTCCTCAGCAGGCAGCTGTGGACACTTCCTGGACACTTTTAGGCATCAGGACAGCTGACACTAGGATGCAGACTAGGATGGCTACTGATGTCAGAAGGAGAAGTTCTAGTTGTTCTTCTTTGCACACCAAAATTGCAAAAAAAAAATTAATGTGATCATAGTAGTGCATTGCATATTTTTAACATAACATCCCTTGAATCTGAATTTTGCACATTTACTATACATCCTAACATTTTGTTTGCCTTTTTGTAAGAAGAGCTGAATGTACTTCTCTCATTTGTAGCCTATCTAGTCTGTTTAGATAAAGATGGCATCCCATATAACTACAGTAACTTAAAACCACTATCAGAGGAAATGACCTAATCCATTAGAATATAGCTCAGTCTGCTCACTGAGTGGTCACCTGTACTGGTTGAGTCCCTCTGATCGACGGCCCAGCTGTTATGATTTATTAGGATTTTGTGGGAGCCCAAAGGGGGGACTGTTTGAGCATTAACTGACTGAGTGGAGGATTGACAAGAAACATGTTGCACCCGCATTATTCATTTGATCTAATCAGCACATCAGTGCTAATCAGTCAGAGCATATAAAAATGCTGAGAGTCATTGATAAGGATACTTGCCTCAAGTCAGAAATTCCTATAACACGGTGGAAACCACAAATAGAAAATCAATGTCTCGACAAGTATAAAACAACAGGCCCTTACTTAAGATCTGGAGTTCATTTATTAAGTGCTCAAATGACCTAGAAGTTCTGTATTCACAATCTATAAAGGAGATAACTCGCTCACAGTCCAGTTGTTTCTACTCCCACTTCTATTTCTTCTCTTCTGTCTGACTCTGTTTCTGTGTGCTCTTATATACTTGCGTCTCTATTGATGCTGGCTTAATGACTTATCTACAAATGCATTAAACTTGGTTAAGAAATTAGTATAGCTGTCTGACTGTGTTTACTGCCTCAAGGATGATCGGCTGAAGACAGCTGTGCATGCACCCCCAGGCTGTTTATTGTTTTACATTTAAAGAGTAGGGATGTGACTTGATGGGAATTGTAAACATTGTGATACAACAGTTGTGCACATGGAAAATGCTTAAACAGTTCCAGTTAAAACTGATTTAAATCCAGGATTCTGGCCTTAGAAGATCTCCCCTGGGACTCCTTGAGTTTAACTTTTAACTACCCAGAAACCGTTCCTTTTCCCAGATTCTCTTTTGCACCCTGAATTCCCACAAAGTGGACATGCAGAAGCTTCTTGGGGGGCAGATTGGCCTGGAGGACTTCATCTTCGCTCATGTGAGAGGGGAGACCAAAGAGGTGGAGGTGACAAAGACAGAGGATGCTCTTGGGCTGACGATTACTGATAATGGAACAGGATATGCTTTCATCAAGGTACTGTATACAGTATGTCCTAATGACCTCATTAGATTCTCTATACAGTACAGTATGACCCTGAACATCCAGCTCCGTCACAGTGGAAGCTCTGTGACTTTTGATATTCCTTCCAAAGGCCCGATACAAATTAAAGAATATTTAGAACATATTTTCCTCATCAATTCTTAAAAAAACAATTCTAATCTATATTTAGTATACATCAATTAAAGGTATGCATACATGAACCATGTTATTGGATTAATTTCCAATAATGAAAAGTCAATAAGTGTACAGTTAAAAATACAATTATTCTAAATTCATAAAACAGTTATCAATTACCAGTCATTTTAACAGAAATAACTACTCTTGAGAATAAACACTCAGTTCTTAGTTTTTATTCATGCTTACCAAGAAATGTAGCAAGTTAAACAATGCTTAATCTTTAAAAAAGAGATCTAAGCAATCCTTCACAATATTTAATTAATGATTAATGATGTACAGATACAGAGGAAAATTACACTGTTATTACTATCAAATAGCATTGTTAGACCTGTTCCTGGTCTTAACACTTAATAAAAGGGAGATGTGAAAGCACAGTCAATGCAGAGTTGTGACCCTGTTACAAGATGAAAATAGTTACAAAAACCATGTTAGCAATTAAAACTGTGTTTCAAGGGTATAATCTGTAATTGTGAGCTGAATGGAAACAAAAACTAGAATGTGAGCGACACACCGATCAGAATTGAGTAACCTGAAATAACTCAACTACATAATTCAGGCTTTGACTCCGACATGACACAGCTCAGGATCAGTGTTCAGAGTGTAAAATCATTCATCAGGGTTTATCAAGCATCTGCAAGCACAGAGAGGGACACTGACGCACCGCAGATGTCAGATAAACCTAAATCTAAATCCAACAAAGATGCCAGGAACATAATGTACTGCCCCCTGCACCAATCACAGACAGTGACTTAACAGCTGTTTCACATATCCCACCTTGAACCCTCAGAGCGTTCTGATGAAATAGGCCAACAAGCTGAATAAATAAAGAGGGGAAACAGTTCATTGTGTGTGCAGTCGCTCAGTTCTCCCAGACAGAAATGGACTGCTCTGTCTAACAGTGATAGAGTGTTTGGAGGTGAGTCCCAATGAAGTGAAAAACAGTACCAGAGCCTAACTTGAATTATATGTTTATAGAACTGTTTAGTTCACAAAACAGATAAAATTGTCATGTTGGGGAAGTTTGTGTGTTTTCTTTTATTTATGTGAAAGGTTAAAGAGAAAAATCTTTTGGTACCTGACCTGTCTTCTACTACCTGGTTTGAACTCTGAACTGGTCTGAATGGAGCTGTTCCATCCGGGAGGGACATTTATGTTCTCAGTATTCAAAGAACCCCAGGCACATTTTCTAAGAAGCACAGAGTTGGGTTTTTACTTTAAAATGCATTCTGTTGTGGAGTTTGGGTTTTAATGGACATCATGCCCACATCCTGATCACAGGCTGTTTGAGTCTGAACAAGAAGCTTCCCAGCCGTGTTGTTGAAGCCAATATCTTGGCTTCTTTCAAGAAATGGCTGGATGAGATCCTGGGTTCAATTAGCTACTAACTACCACAGGGACTAGATGTGCTGCATGGCCTCCTCTCATTTGGAACTGTTCTTGTGTTATTGCTATTGAAGTGAAGAAATACATGGCCAGATCACATACTTATTTTTTAATTTGTGTCTGGTTTCTTTACAACCCCTATCTCCACTCCCAGAGGATAAAGGAAGGCAGTACCATTGACCACCTGAAGTCAGTGTGTGTTGGGGATCACATTGAGGCCATCAACGACCAGAGCATCGTGGGCTGCCGGCACTATGAAGTGGCCAAGATGCTGAAGGAGCTCCCCAGAGGAGCACCTTTCACGCTGAGACTGGTAGAGCCCAAGAAAGCATTTGGTACGTGACTTCTGTTTCTCCTCAGGACAGTGGCACTCTAATCCAGTGCTGATTTTACGTAGTTATAGTGGCCTCTGCAGCTCATCTAATGCAAGGTGTGGGCTTTGCAAGGTCTTTGTGAGTTTTCCAGGTAGTGGCCAGGGCGCAAGCTGTTGGACTGGGACTAAAACCAATGCAAACATAAATAATACTGATCTAGAAAAGAGTATCTTCATATAAAAGTATTCTATTGAACTGTAAATTGTTGAGTACATTAAGAGTTATTATTACTTTTATGACAATTCATAATAACAATGAAAACCTACACTACACGTATGTATCTTAGAATTCCTAGACTGTGGACAACATTTTGACATTTTGGCTTAACCTTCTCGTAAAGGTTCCATCTTGAAATATTATCTCATACCCACTTTTTGTCTAATATGAAAAACAGAAACCACAGGTAAGCTTAATGCTTTCATTTCTACATGTAATGCAGTACTGGCAGAGAGGTTTTCACTTGGAGCTCAGTCTCCTCCCTGCTGTTGTGTTTTCCTTTATTCAACTGAAAGATCAGCAGCCCCTCCCAGTGGCTCTTTCAGGAATAGCAACCCCCACCGATCTGATGTACTGATGTGCAGATATAGGCCACTATTTCTCAGCCTAAGCCTTGTATTTCTGCACATTTTCAGTTGACAAAAAGGGAGAGAATTGAGAGAATTGTAATGTTAAGAGACACCAACTGTGTGTGAAAGGTATGTGAGGGTTTTATTTTCACTTATTGTGAGATTGTTCGGGGTGTGAATGGAGTTTTTATTACTGTAATTAAATCATGAAACTGATAAATGCAGTTATATTCCATTGCATGAAATATAAATAGTGCAGATTGTCAGTCAGGTGATACTTTGTTCCCTGTAAAATACCCTTTTCTTTTGAATTTAAAGATTCAATCAACATAATAAACACTAGTTTATTTACTTCTTTACAAACATTATAATTTTTGTTTCTTGAGTGGTCTTGTAATGTACTTGACAGCATTGTTCTAAGCTGTCTTCAGAACTGTCCTCCACAGCATTAGAACTGACAGTTCTTGACAACCAATCAGTCAGTCAGCCAGTCAATCAAATACAAGAATTGATAAAACCAAGTACATTTTAAGGAAAAACATCAGTGGAGGGTGCATTTATAAGAAATTATTCAGAAAGAATATTCCAAAGACAAAAAGACAAGGGGCTACTGCTGGAAAAGAATGATCTCCTCATGTATGATGTGAAGTCCTTGAAACCAGAAGAACTAAGTGAATAAACTGAGACACAGTAACTCTTGAAGGTAGCTCAGGGCCTGGCAAGTCGACAGGCTCTATAAGAGACTGGGAGCCAGTGCATGTTTTCAATACAGGAGAACAAAATTTCTGTTCCACATCCTGACTGTGATCCATTGCTTATGCCATCTCAGTGAGAGCAGGAAGCAGGCGGATATGTTTAAGAAGGTCAATCCCTGTGGAATTCAACACATAAACAGGCGTGATGCATAATTGCAAATATTTCAAAGTGAAGTGTAATGGAACTGTGTACTTAACAGAACTAGCTTTTAACTCAGCACTACTGGAGATTTACAAAAAGAGCTTTTAATTTTTTTTATACAAACACTGGTGAAGCCATACAATAAGTCACAAATGTTCATTTACGTAAAGTGTACAAATTTACTGAAAAGAAGGGGGCTAAGTTAAAGTATTTTACAAATACTACAAAATGAGCTGTGCAGTATCGTGATTAACATACTGAAGAAAAAGAAACATGTTTTACATTTTACTGGTGAGTTCTAAGATAGTAGGCACTACCAAAATGTTATTTAATTGGACTTTTTTGTCTAACATCTACATTTTGGACACGAAACCTAGGAATCTCAGAAGTGCTGCCTTCAAGTGCAGCAGTTTTTATAAAAATGATTACTGAATTAATTTAGAAGTCCTGGGTACCTGTGTATGTGAAAGTGCCTATCCAAGAACATAGTGCAAAGGTTATTCCATGGTAAATTCTAACTCAGGATTTTACTGTCTGGTGACTACTGTGCCTGTGCTACTGCACCTGATAAAGCTATTCCTCACTTCTCCTACTTCAGAAATAATCCAGTTTAACATGCTTTTTGCCCTTGTATTAAGACAGATTAAATTTAAAATGTATTTTACAATTTGTTCATTGGAACATTCTCATTTTTTTCTAAACCTAACGCACCACATATTTCTAGTTACTTTAAAAGGTTCCTGTCACCTTTAAGGAGTTGATAACAATGATAAAGATGTAGAGATCTGCTTCTTCAATTAACCACATAAAAATACTTTAAAAGCATGGAAGTTTGAAAACTAATAGTCACTTCAATCATTAGGATCAGAGTTCCAAAGTCATGCTTTTAAAGTTTTACTAACAGCAGGATCCATCCTGGAACACAAATTAAAATAAAACTGCTGGCCAACACAAAACCATTAGTCTCGCTTAAGGAAGAAGGAATAACTAATTATTTTTCCTTTCAATGAGCTGCTGCAGGAATTGGCTACTTACAACAGTAAGAAAAAGAAGCCAGAAAAGCTGGCTCCCGGACATGTTAATGTTCTAGTTAGCTAATTCAAGTGTTCAGGCAAATGCTAAATATGCTATATTGCTCTTACACCATTTTCCCAGTCCTAAATGTAATTTTATAAAAAACACAATGGAGGTCAAGATCAAATGATTCCTGTACATGGCCAGTAAAGTGCATCTCAAATTATGCTGAATGTGTTGTATATTGTGAATGTTCAAATTATTTCAAATCATCTATCGGAATCCAACTGATTCTCTGAGTCAGAGAGTGCTAACCATGATCCTTATATTTAGTTGATCTCTGTATTCAGCTGCAGCAAAAGCTTTTTGGAAATAAATCCACAATTTACACTAGTACCATACCTCTGCTAATAAATTAAATGGAAATAACAATATGTACAGTGCGTGCCCAATGAGCTATTAATATCAAATATCAAATATATTATGCTGTTTTCCTTGCAGATCCATAATTTCTTCTTAAATAAATTCTATATAGTGTACTCTAAGACTGCATGGTGGCCCTAAAAACTTTAAGTTAAATGAATCTATTCCATCTGAATTATACCTCCAACAGGAGAAGTCAGGGTTATTTAATTGTTTTTTGTAATTACATCAGACATGTCTGTTCAAAGTTTACTAACTGTTATAGTAAATTATTTGTAACAATTAGTAAACTTTCAATGCAGTTCAAAGCAATTTTTATGTAGTAGTCCTATTCAATATGCAGAACTGTGTATATCCTTTCCCTTTTGAAACAGAACCAAACAGTTTCACTATCAATTAAGCAGCTTGCAATTAATCAGGGCACTATCAATTTCCAGCTAAACAATTATTTTGAGCTAATTAAATGAGAGTCAATGGTCTGGCAAACCATCCATCCCATTTATCATTACAAGTTAATATCCCAGCATAATCACAAATTACAAAGACAAAATGCTTCAATTTAAATCTTTAATGTAATTCCTTAAACCACAGAAAAGAGATTACTCTTGTAAGTGTACAAAAACAATTTTTTCACTCCAGGGGATTTCAGATTTACAAACTCAAATTGCTTGTATATTTAAACACTAATTTGATGGATTGCCTTTTAGAAATGTTAATAGTCAGGTTAATAAAAGAACGCAACATCACATAAGGAATTTAACCAAAACCATAAAAATACAAGGAATTGAAAGGGGATAAAGTTTCCCTGACTCCTACACAACCTACCACACTTTCCTTTATTTTTTTAAACATTTTGTATTTTTTCTGTAAATTCTAATTATTCACACTGGGTATTCTGGGTATTCACAGCTACATCTTTTACCTCTGAATCTGTATGAATTTAATCGGTAAAGTGACCTATGATTTTCCAGTAGAGGCAGTGTATTTATTTTGAAGGTACTCGTTTGGCCACTTAGATTTTTTGTACTTTATATGTTATCATCATTGGTGTAAGTTTCTTCTGCCTCTCTCCATTATTCCTGTTGGAAATGATTCATTCCTGGAATATGTCAAACCTTGTAGCTGCTTGCCATGACGGAATACCGGCAGTGTCACGCTCCTCTCCAACCCCTAGAGGGCGCTGCACATCTGTCCTTTTCCTAGTTCCCTGTGATTATTCATGTCTTTCCGGTGTGTCTTGGTGTGTAGTCTTTTTCCTTCCTGTGTCTCCTCTGCTCTTGGCTCATTATTGAGGGTACGGATGTCGTGAGACCTGCCTCGTTTCCAGGTTGTCCCACGTCCGTGGCCTGAGGGTACAGGTTTCTACCCCGATACTGACCGTCCCCCTGAGCCTGGGCTAACCTCCGTGTTGCCCCTTTTTCCTGCTAGCATAGGGTCTCTACTGCCACTATCTGTGACATGCAGCTGCATTTTAAAACTAGAGAATTTTGTCACTACGAGTCGAGGTCTGTTGGAACCAGGTCTTCATTTCCCAAGCCTGTGCTCCTCCTCAAACTGTATTTCTTCAGCCGCTTCAGCTCATATCTTCAGTTGTTTCTCCACAAAGTCCTTCAGGAGCTGTCACATTTCTTTTCCATTTTTATCTTCCTCAGTACCCATGAGCTCTGAAAAACACTGTTTCTCACGCCTCTACATTGGAGATCCACTATACTGGTTTTAAGATAAGCAGTCTCTTGGCCTCTCCATTGTTTAGTACATATACCTTATATTGCCTCTAAGGCAGACATCTACTGCAGACTTGACCTTTGTCTTACTCTTAGTACATGTGATGCTGGTGTTTCTATTTAATGGGTTTTCTTTGTTTTAAGATGAACAAGTTTAAACAGGTACCAAGCCTTTTCTTCCCATTCTCATCACTAGATTTTCAAACTGGTTTGCTCTTTCTTATTTCTTAAATATTGACTCAATAACTGCAGTATATTGGGACACTGCTGAGTGTTCCCTCATAAGATATTTGCTGCTTATCAATTGAAATGGCCTGGGTACCCAGCTCTTGCCATTTTATTTTCTACTTGATCTCTAAATGAATCTTCATCACTGCAACAAAAATGCTCGCAGTCTCAGATGCTACTTAAAAATTTGTCCAGCTGATTTCTTCCATAAAAAACTATCCACTCCCAAACCTTGTTACCTTAATCTTTCACCTTACATAGGGGAAAAAACACCTTATCAAACAAATAAACATACTGGCCAATGGCTAAAAATATGTTCGGGATCTTGTCTGGTATCGCAATCAGGCAGTTGTTACTTGATGGATAGCCTGGGATTAATGGATCCTGAAACACAATTGGAAATTCACATGCCTCAGTTGTTGGTCAGTGCATTAACAAGCAGGGAGGAGAACAGTCTGTACAGACAAGCTGGCAAACATCCAGGCTGATAATGCAGACAGAAGACAGAGAATAACAGGAAGTGACATACATGAGGAAATTGTAGAGAGCTAATTATTGTAAAAAAAATCACAGGCACAAGCGAGACTTATCTGTTTTTCACTGCTTTGTTCCAGTGAATTATCACGTCTTTTCTATGATAAACCCGAAGTGGTTTTGACCTAATTGAAAGTGCTCACACAAGCTGAACATAGGCTGCGTGTTGCAACTCAGTACTGTGGGTACCTGGTTAAACTTGAATAAAGAGCAGGTGCTGGACAGGTTTCCCAAAACCTCCTGAGATGATACAAAAATCTAATTTTTGGCTTTTAAAATGAAGGGTTACAATGTCAAGGCCTCATGTGTGCAGATTTTATGGGGCACAGGAACCTGGAACCAATTAAAGGACAGTTAACGCTTTCATTATAAGGAGAGAGTTTAGAGAAACAGTTGAGAAATTGATAAATTAATATTCAGTAACAGCTTCATCTGGAGAGGGTTGTAGTGAGCAGGAGCCTCACGTGGCAGGTCCAGGGGCCAAGAGGGGATATACTTTACACTGATGCTTTCAGGCACGTCTGCAGTTCTAACAGCTAGTCTGGCTTTCCTCGGACAGCGTAAGGCAAAGCCCAGATGGACATGGGCTGAACACGCAAACACCGTGCAGAGAGTGACCTAGACCAGAACTGAGCCCAGGATCCAAAACCTGAGAGACAGCACGGCAGTGCTATCTGCCTGGACGCTGCACCAAAGAAAACAACATAAGAAAAGTTAGAATTGAGAGGAGACCATTCTGTCTGTTTAGTAAGTAGTAGTTGATTAATCAGAAGATCTCATCCAGTCATTTCTTCAAAGAACCCAGGGTTGCAGCTTCAACAACATGTCTGGGTCTCTTGTTCCAGACTCCCCCTGGAACCCTTTGGGTAAACAAGTGTCCCCGTTCTTGGCTTTGAACGCTCTTCCATGTGGCTTCCTCTCGTGTGTCTGGTTCATGGTTCACAGTTCATTCAGAAGAAATATGCTGGACTGACTTCAAATCCTTTAAGGATTTCATATCCTTGTGTTGAGTCACTTTGCAGTTTCCTCTGATCAAGGCTAAAATGTTTCAGTTTCTTCAGTCTGTCAGTGTTGGAAATTCCTTAAAGTCGCAGAATGTATCTTGTTGCTCTTCTCTGGACTAATCCCAGAGAAGAAATATCTTTTCTAAAATGTGGTGTCCAAAATTGTACACAGCTTTGATGTAACATGCATTTTATTGGTCTTTTTAATTGCTCCCCCATATTGTCTAGAAAATGTAAATAATGTTTTAAAACACTTGTATACAAGGCACATTATTTACATTCCATTACATTGGAGATAAGTCCATTAACCAATTCTATTTACTCTTTTTTTATAAAAAACGATGATTTAGTACTTAAGTCTGTTGAACTATCTTAGCTAAGAATTCTTTCATGAATTACAAGCTATTCAAATATCATATTTAACTGAAATTTGTGTAAAAACAGGCCAGGCCTTTATTAAAGGCTGATGTGAATGGCTTCCATATGAGAACAATGTAATTAGTTAAAGCAAATTTCGACATGAATCACATTTTACATTTTGGGAGTTGAAACCTGGATACAATTTGGAAAAAAATTGGTACCTTAACTTCAGCAAACACAAATCCCTTAGTAAAACTATTGGTTCAAATGCAAAGAGGGAAGAGCTTGATAAAAACTCTTGAAATTAATCGACAACAGCAGTCTGTTATTTTCTATAATATGTATCTATCACCTGTGAAACTCTCAAACTCCAGCGTTGGAATATTAATGACTTCCTAATCCCTGACAGTGAAAATATGATCTAAGTAAGAAAACAATCAGCTAAATTAGATAATTAGAACCTCAGTCAGCATAAGCACCAGGCAAATGTTTGAATGTGGACGACCAGTAATGTGTATCACTTTACTAGTTTATACTGTCACTAAGCTTCAAATCCACCACTCATACTAATACTCTCTATTGTGGAAGATAATGTAGAGGTGTGGTTAATATATCTATACATAGTACAGATTAAATTTATGTAGTAAATTTCAAAAGATAGGTGTGTTTTAAAAATGGGTCAGATTATGCTGCATAAGAGATGGGTCAATATCTAATGAATGAATTAAGAAACTGTTTCTGGGAGCCCTCCTGTTGAGCAAATACAGTGCAGTTCTTGTGTCTACAAGCCCTGGTCTAAATCCTCCACAGACATGATCGCACAGAGGACCAAGTCAGCCAAGTCCTGTGGCGAAGGGAAGGTGGGAAGTGGCAGAGAAACTCTGCGTTTGAGATCGAAGGGATCTGCGTCTGTGCAGGAAGCAGTAAGTAAAACAGTGTTGATTTTCTAGCTGGTAGGCAAGAAACACAATTAAGGTGAGTGTCTGCTCTTCACCTTCCAGTCGCATTGCGCAGGCATTTATTTATAGAACACTAACAGGATGTCTTGGATTTTAAGATTTACTTGGCATTCTGGTGGTGAGAGACATATCCCATAAGGTCCAATTTTGTATTTAATGTGCTTTTTTTAGAAATTATAAATCTGTATCTGTATTTGTGTCTGTTAACATTCTCATAGAATCACCAACTTTAGGAGTCCCTTGTCTGTGACGATAGTGCCTAATACAATTAAAATGACATGATTTGTAAAGCAGTAGATAGTTGTATTATTATGTGGCTAAATGTGTAATAGCTAAAGGAAATCATAATGACTCTTCCCAGTAACCACGCATACAGTGACTATGGTTTAATGACTGTGCACTAAGAGTGACAATGTATTTTCTTTCTACAAAAAAAACAACTTGAACTGTTAATTTGTTTGTTGTCCACACAGATTTGGAATGGGTATTTGTTAATCATCTGAGCTTTTCTGGTACAGTCCTTAAACTGTCACAAGAGGGATGAAGACCCCACATGCTTTTTTCAGAAATGTTCACTAATCTAAGAATAATGAAATACTTACAACCCTGATCTCATTTCAATCTCATGGTGATCAGTTTTGAACATCAACGTCAACACAAAGCACATGATTCTCTTTGGTAATCATATAAAATAGATGCTCTATAAGCAGTGTCAAACACCATCAATATGTTTTCTCTGGGATTCCTACCTCCTTACCATAAACTTGCATTTTCATGTCTGAAACATTTGTTTGGAATATGATACACACATATTTCCAGTTAATTATGTCTAATCCTTTTGATTGCAAAAGACTCCGACTTGTTTATATACACTTCACATGGCAGTAAATAAACAGAACCATGTGAGTCTTGGAAATGTGGTAACAGAACATAAGCAGACATCCTCAAAGGATCTTTGCTTGGTGACATCATGAAGCCCTGTAGGGCTAAAAGGTTAGGTTTCACTTTAGGAACTCAACATTTGGCTTCCATTACAGAGCTTTCATTCTGACAAGCTAAAAGCATGACATATTTACTGCAGAGAAAAGTTCCCAGAGTGCTTTGCAAAATCAGGATGCGTAATACATGCAGGTAGGCTGAAGGGCGGCGCTATAGTCCAGTGGTTAGAATTGTCACCTCACAGCACTGGGGTTCTGGGTTCATTCCAGAGCTGGAGTGCTATCTCTGTGGAGTTTACATGTTTCCAAGTTCACATGGGTTTCCTCCCACAGTCCAAAGACACACCTGTACTGTAGGTTAATTGGTTTCTTGAAAATTTGGTTCTGGTGTGACTGTGTGCATCTGCATTTCTGTGTGCCCTGCAAAGGACTTGTGTCCCATGCAAGGAAGCTTGGATACTAGCTTACTTGTGAAGATTGAGGTGTTTTACATTACTATTACATTTACATTATTTTCAGGAACTGCCATAGAGCACTTGCTGTGTGAATACACCCATAATGTCTTTTACAATGCTCAGTTGAAATTCAGTCTGGTGTAATTGTACATGGAGGCCACTGGAATTAATGCAATAATGAACTTCTTTCAGCCAAACGAATTCGAAGAAAGAGCAACAAAGAAGGTGGACGATCTCCTGGAAAGTTACATGGGGATCCGGGATCTTGAATTGGGTGAGTGTCTGTTTTGGGTTTTGGATGCGAAAACAATGCAAGGTGAAATATAATATTTATACAATATATGTGGCAAACATTAGCAGAGAGTGTGCAAACATTTGCTGCCACTGTGGTTGAGCAGTTCAGCAGCTCCTGTGTGGAAGAGCCCTGGAGGATGTTGCTGTCTTGCTATTGCACTTACAGTATAGCTGCTGTGCAGCGTAATGAACTTGAACTTGAACTTTATTGCCATATGTAACCGGTACATGTACTGGTACAATGGAATTCTTACTTACAGAAAGTTTCTCGATTGTTAAAACAAGTGTAAAAACACAAAGTGCAGACAGTGCATCAAGACAATACAGTATACAAACAAACAGTAGACAATGTACAAGTAAACAAGTAAACAGTTTGAATGTAAACAATGCAGATATGTAAACAATGACTGGAGATGTGCAATAAATAAGAAATCATAATGAGGTAGATGGTGTAGGTGTGGTCCGAGGGGCTTCTTCACTTCATCCCCTTTAAAGGCTCCAGCTGAGGGTGGTCACACATGTGGACACAGGTATAAAAACCTTAAAAAGTCAATTTCCGAGCTGTGGCACTCCTGGGATGTAAATTTCATTTTCTGGGTCTTCTCTAAAGTGTCTACTACCTTGGAAAATTTTGTGGTTGAAGAGATATAAGAAAATCTGCAAGAATTTTTATGAAGACAGGACCTGGAAAGGTTCTTCTCAGCCTTACAAAAATGTTAAATAATAAAAAAAATGAAATGAATAAATGCGTATTTCACTGCTGCCAGTCCTAGAGAGGCTTCTTATAATGTTGAAGGTAAAAAAAAGTAAAACATATGCTAATTATAGAGAAGGTTTAAGCCTCTGAATGGTCAAAAGTTGCTGAATGACATCTATTTCAACCTGTTGGATGAGATGTTTTTACAGCTGGTCAATTTTAACTTCAGAAGCCATCTTGGTTGCAATGTGTATTGTTTTTATAAACTTGTGAATTCCCAGAGTAAAATGAAAGCACTGTTTCAAGGTAAAGGAATCTTTCTATATGTTCTTTGCTTTTGTACTTTACTTTGGTGCTTTTATACGTACGCAAATATACGTACATGTGTTGGTGGATATGCCTATTCGAAGGTCTTTATATCTATACAGTACACCTACAGTATAACAAGTTCACTATTCCCCAATGAACAAGCCTCTTCTAGCGGCCCTTTCGTCATTAGAGGGCTGAAGTCCACTCCAATAGAGGCAATCTGTTCCTCGAGGCAGTACAGAGCCACAGTCTGACATACTGTAGCTCCAAAGCACAAGGACAGCAACATTGCGGTTCAAGGACGAATCCAAAGCTAATCATCCCACTATCCGTTCTAAGATATAAATGTTCCTCCCTCAAGATAAGAGGAATGCAACCAAGGCACAACAGATTTTGTGCCAGTGGTGAAAGATCATGCCAGAATTCAAACAGAATGAACAGTAGAGGGACTTTATTAAACAAGACACAGTCAGTCAAGCCCTGGCTTCTATTAACTTTCATATTAAACTTGATTAGTATAAGTCTTTATAATTTCATTTAGTGAAATACTGGCAGAAAATCAACTTGACATCTATACCCTGGAAATGGGAAACAATATAAATGCAATTTTTTAAAGGTTTCTGCAGGTACCATGAAAAACATCTACCACTAGAAACGCCAAACCACAATTACACTTGCAAATAGTTCACTGTGTGTAACGATCTCATTATATAATCAAATAATGGTTTAGAATTAAATGGCTTTAGAATGTTTAAAAGTGAACATTTACAATGCTCATTCTTCCATGAGGTTGGGTTGCTTGTAGATAGAAGGGGAGGTATAAGTCACTCTCTCTTATTCAGTTGTGTTCCTTATATGTGCAGAAACATTTCTGTTTAAAAAGCAAAAACCCCCTGGGCCATTTTAACACAGCTGCCTTCCAGTGTTTTTAGTGTGAAGGTCCCCTCAGTCACAGTACAAGAGGCCACACAAGGTAGTAATACAAAAAGCAATGATACTTAATCATTAAGGCAGATCAGTAGACAACTCCAATGTTATGAATGCCTTACATTTACATGCCTCATGTCAGGGATCTCGGAAAGGACGAACCGTGGAATGGCAGGAGAGAGAAACTAGACCCTATGCGTTCTCATGGGTAATATTCCAAAACTATGACTGGAAATTCCCTGAAATAACTGAAGGCCGTCTGTTGCATATCTCTGAGATCCCTATCCACAGTGCTCAAATACATACATACTGTATAGTGTGTAACACAAAGGAAAGTATCATCAATCTCCCACACCGATGTAGGTGGATGAAGACCATAGGGATTAATATCCCCACAACAGACTCATCATGCTAAATGAGCTCTTTATGATGCTTCGTCATTCTGTTATCACAAGATTGACGGCATCAGTTACTGTAGAATTTCAGTCCTTGGTTTGTGATGGAGGCATCTCTCTGTACATAGTATCCTTTCTTATCTCAACAGGTCACTGAGCACTAAATCATAAAATATAGATTTTGAATGTTTGAATATCTATGATATAGTGCTCAGCAGCCCTTTACAGCTTGCATGCTCTTATTTCTCCGTGCCTGGTTTCTCAAACTTCTGTCCCGAAATAAACTTCATCAGAGCATCTGACGCAAGATATCATGTAGAAGCTTTGAACTTGCCCACCCACACCAAAGACCTCACAGCTTTCCTTACACAAGCATGTCAACACATTAGGAAAAACATCTGCTTGGCATCTAAACAAAGCTGGAGGAAGTCGCTAGTGTAAAGTGTGAATGGACACAAGTGCCTCCTCACTTTTGTTGCACTTGGCCAGTCTTTGGATTTTCACCGGGCTAGGTTTATAACCTCCCACTGCAGTCATTCATTATGTCTTGAATTTAACATTTGAAAACAAAGACCATCTTATAGTAATGTTTTCTTAATTTCAGTTCTCTTAGAAAAAAATATCGAAAAGCAGCTTGAAATCAGAGCCTTAAAAATGGGAAACAAAAATGTCCCCTTTCACAAAGCCTTTTACTGGGGGTTGATTTCCATGGTAGCAAAAATCTAAGGCCCATTTCCTTTTGTATCATTCTCAATGAGGTTTTTTTGATAGAGTTCGAATTTCATAGATGTCTTAAATATTGGATGTACATGTTTTGCCCCAGTAGAAATGCAGTGATGACACCAGTGATTTTCCATGGATTAAAATATTTTGGGAAATAACATAACTTGAATTTGAACTTTATTGCCAAACTGTATGTAACAGGTACATGTACTGGAATTCTTACTTACAGAAAGTCTCTCGATTGTTAAAAAGTGTAAAAAACACAAAGTGCAGACAGTGCATCAAGACAATATGCAAACAAACTGTAGACGATGTACAAGTAAACAAGTAAACAGTTTGAATGTAAACAATGCAGACATGTAAACAATGACTGCAGATGTGCAATACATAATTAAAATGATGTATATGGTGTAGGTGTGGTCTGAGGGGCATGGCCAAATGTGTTCGCCAATTGCACTGTTTGGGGGTAGAACCTATTGAAGAATCTGGTAGTAAGTGTCTGTATGCTCTTGTATCTCTTGCCTGAGGGCAGTGGGGTGAAGAGCTCATGCCCGGGGTGGTGACTTTCCTCTGTGATGGCCAGAATTCTACCACTGCAGCAGTCCTCATAGAGCTGTTTAATCTCTGTGAGACCACGGCCAATAATCTTCTGGGACACATTCACCATTCTCTGCAGTGCCTTTCTCTCTCGAGAGGTAGTGTCGCCGTACCACACCTAAGGTGTTAATTCTATCTTTCAGCGGCAACGATTGTAGAAGCTGGGAAAGACAAACAGAACCCGGATGACTTTGCAGAAGCTCTGGATTCGGTCCTGGGTGACTTTGCCTTCCCAGATGTATTCCTTTTCGACGTGTGGGGGGCCATAGGAGATGTGAAGAATGGCCGAGTGTAGCAGCGTTGGACATGCAGTTTATGGACACCCCTACAGTAAATCCAATTTTCCATCAGGATCCCCTGACTGTGTGGCCTCTAGCAATGGAATCCCATTCCTCACTGATGCTAATATTCGCATTTGAGCTGCAACCTTGATAAGTATCCCTGTTCCTTTACTTATTTTAATACAGACCTGAATGAATAACCTGTTTTAAGCACCTTATTGTTAGTAAAAATCAATCAGTTTAAAATAAGGCTTAAATAAAACAAAACAAAACATATCCAGCAGTAGCAAAACAGAATTTCCACTGTTCGATAGTGGCGGTCTGCGCAAAAGCATCAAAAGAGACTTATCACTCCATTTATGCTAGTATAGTTTTAGAAAAATGAGGTATTCAGAAATAATAGAATTTAATTAAATAGTTTTAATAGTTTTCCTTGTCATTTTGATTAATTGATCATTCATGACTAACCATGATACACTTGAGTGACTTTGACAGTTACTTCAGTACTAAAGTGCTTGTTAGTGAGAGAGCACAGATGATGAGGAGACTGCTTGAATGTCAAGCAAGATGAAGGCAGAAGGAAAAGAATCAATGGGCCCTGCTTATAAAGAGAACAACACCTTTGTGCCGTAGGTATATTTGAGTAACACCTGAGGTGGACTTGTGAGCAGTGGAGTCAAGTCCTGCAGCAATGAATGAAGGTTATGAGTAGAGTCCTCAGAGAGTGCACCATCTCAGTGGTGTAGATATGTAGAGTGATATGCTAGCTTATTGTTTTGTACAACAGATCAGTTGTGATGCCCTGGACAGAAGCACTTACTCACCCTAGAACTCCACTTGTAGTGATTGATGGCAACCTGACTACACAAACTACAGGGTTGATGTGTTGTTTTAATACAGACTGTATTTAAGATTTTTTTGTAAAGAAATTGTCTCCAGAAGGAGAGAGGATAAAGTGAAAGGGATGGGGTAAAAGGGACATGTTTTGTCTTTTGCATCACTCTAGCATGGGAAGCAAGGATTTCTCCAGATTAATGGGAAAAGCAGGGGCAGTTTATCCCACACATCATACGAAAATACTAAAAGCAACAAAACCTGCCAAACTAAATCAGAAACCCTCAAACAAACATACTCTTGAACCCAGGAGAAAACCTAAATGATGGGAAAATCTCCAGTCCCATGTTCAGTTATGTGATACATATATGGCAGAAAAAAACAGTAATTTACTTTTGTAAACTGTGAAGCTTTATAAAAATGGTTTCTTCTTATATATACCTGTGCCTGAAAAAAATGAAGGTCTTCATTTTGAATTGAACAATCTAACTTTTCTCCTGTATCCACAAAAACAGCAGATTCATTGTTCTGTTTTTTACATCATACTGTATGTGGCCTCATGTTCATCAATACATTTTCTAACTGCTTCATCCAATTCAGGGTCGTGGGGGAGCTGAAGCCTATCCCAGCAAGCAATGGGCACACTCTAGACAGAAAGCCAGTCCATCACAGGGCACACATAGATATAAGAACAGACATACAGATAGACAGACAGACACACACATGACCAGATTTCCCAGAAGCCAATTAACCTACCAGTTTGGCTTTGGATTGTGAAAGAAACTGGAGTACCCAGGGGAAAATCCCGTGAACATGGGGAGAACATTCAAACTCCTTGCAGTTAGCACCCCAGGTCTGGAATTCAACACAGGACACCAACACTGTAAGGGAGCAATGCTTCACACTGCGCCACTGTGCCACCCATACCTCATCTAAATTTAGGTTGAAAAACATTTAGTAAAAAATGATTGAGAGTTAACACAAGTGGAAACTTTTTCTGAAACAGGATAATTGGTAAGTTTCTATCATTCAACTGTGACAGAACTTGGTCAGTATGCTATTGACATGACTGTACGTGGCCTGTATAGTAATTTCAGCAAATTTGGCCAAACCCCTATGTAAACCATGATTGGAATTATTTTGCGTAACTCCCCTGTCTGAGGAAAACAGCAGCCTGTCCTTCGCGGCGAGGCTGTTGGAACCCCCCTGCCTTCGTTTATGAGGAATGAGCCAGGGAGCTGCTGCAGCAGTGGGGTGGACGATGGGATAACAAAGGCAGTGAGCAACCAGCTGGCTACAAGCTTCCAATGAGCTTGAATGGTGATATTTATATGTAGTTTAAAAAAGAAGCCAGTGAGCCTGTGTCCCCCTCTGCTTCTGTATAAATCATTTAAACACTCTTTGTGGTGCAGGGCTTAGAGATTAGTTATGAAGATGGCTCCCCGGTTAGGTGCTGCTTTGGAATATAATTCAATCTTTAGTCACTGTCACTTGAAGTTAACTGAAGTTTTGGAGGGATAACATGTCAGTCACATGCTGCTGTACCTAATCACCATCATTATGGAATTGGCTCTATGCACTGGACACCAATGCCACCCCTTGCATTTGACTGAAGTACAGCTTCTCCACCTCGTCTCCACCTTGCAGCTGCCCCCTGGCTCACTCCTTCTGAATGGGGCTTAAGGCCCCTTGTGCTGTGGCCACATTAACTAATCTCCTCTCTCACCAGTATTCCACACTTTCACAAAGTGTTCAGTGCTTGGATTTTGTCTCTAGTGAAATACCATAACTGTAGTTCCACCAAGCAGCTCACGATTCACCACTAAAAATCAGCAGGAAGGTTGTACTGGAAATTAAAGAAAACTAACAATGCTGTAAGTCATATACAGCCACAGAGGTAAGTGTTTTGCCTTTTCTCTCAACCTAAAGGTCTGAGATCACCTGACAGAAACATCCCACAGTTCCACAGTTCAGTCTTCCATTTACACTCACAATGTGTGTGAGGTACTGTATATTGCTCTTGGAGAAAAACAGTCTTTGTTATCTTTGGGCTGTGGTCAATATAAGGAAGACAAAAGCAAATAAGGATAATGTTCAGATTTAACACAAAATACGATCAGAAGTTTTAAATCTTTTGGATGGTAATTTGGTGTTTTCTAACAGGGTCACCATAACATGTTAGATGCAAATGCTTGGGAAAATTCTCTTTTTGAGAGGAATGATATTTTTTTCCCCTGTTTGTCTTGTAACTGACCTGGAAAAGGTCTTTCCACCAGCCTCTGCATGATTAAAATTTGCAATTGCACTGTGTCATACTTAGATACAAGTCTTTTTATTCATGCTGTTTGTCAAATTGATACCCCCAGGACTTCCCCAAACTTGCTTCCTTTGCATTTTGTAATTATCAAATTGTATACAAATGGTTATCCACAAGTATTTGTATTTATTGTGCTGTGGTCTGCTTGCTTTGTTGTTTATTACAAAAAACTGACCTGATCCTACAACATTGCAAACAGAACAGAATGTCCAAGCTACAGTTATTGCTTTAGCTTTGCAAAGTGGGATTGATGGTTTAGGACAAATTATATTTCTTACTTCAGTGGGAAACGGCTGCTGTACTTTTGAATGTTACTTCACTCAAATTGTTCTAGTAATTTTCCTGGAAATGGTTGCCGTCCAAGTCATCATTGAAAAGGCAACTTTGTTCTTAAATGTTTTCTTGTAAAATAATAGGTTATTTAGAAAAACATGGAAAGGCAATAGTCATTCTTTAATAAATGAATGAGAAAAAGCACAGAAATGAAAGAGAGTGACCTGACTGTGATTATTATTCTCATGTCACTGAGTGACTTCTATCCAGCCTAGCATTTCATGAACTGTCAGCCTGGGTAAAAAAGAATTTGAAAGAAGGGCCTCATCATCTATCTGCTCAAGGAAGGGGTCTGGAGTCCATGGATACTGCCTGAATTACTGGAATGAATGGAGTTACAGGAGTTCCAACAATAGTTTCTTTTTTACCCCAGACCTGCCACACTATCGCCATACACAATTTTAAGGCACATGAAATAATAGTACCTGCGTTAATCAAGTATGAATTCATATATTGTAATTACTGAATATGAATGAAAATATTTGAAGTCTGTAAATTCAAGCAGGGCATCATTAAATTTCTATCAATCACTTAGGTAGAGGAGAAACAAAAACTATTTTTCAGCATTTACATTGATCTACTGTATGTTCAGGAATTATTTTTTGTAGTAAATATGTTCTGACTGAAGAAACACTCATTTCAGATGTTATATTGCTAAAAACATTGATCACGCACCATAAACAAGAACTCCACAAAAAAAAAACTTTAACAATTTTAGCAGCTGATGACAGAAGCAAGAGCAGACTGATTTGTTGGCAGAAACAACCACATCCAACTTTTTTAAAGCTCTTGTTTTAAATCTGTCATGCTTTTTACTTTAGCACAAAACAATCAGTGCCTGCTTTCAAGGCTGCCATGGTTGCTGTATTCTGGAAAACATCATGACACATTAATGTCATGCGCTGCTCTGCAACACAATTTCAAGCCAGGCAAGCATTCTTCCTTCACTACGACTTCAACCACATTGAAGGGGATTCAAAATAAACAGTTTCTTTGGAGATGAAAAACAAATGACAGTGGATCCCCCTTCTTTGCATTTAATAACATCTACCAAATATTCATGCAAAGGATCACATCAGCCTGAAGCATCAGGAGAGTGTAGTGGGCAAGGCATTAATGCAACTGGAGTGGAGGCCAGTCCATTGCAGGGCACACACACAAATGGGGAAGGTTTAAACACCACAACCTAACTCTTTAGAGCTGGGAGGAAACTGGAAGACTCTGAAATCCCACACAGCCACAGTGTTAATATACAAACTCCACACAGCAGGTTTCACTATTGAACATGTATTGCTTAGTGTTGCCACTTCACCACATTCTCATGATAGGTAGCCTGCAATATTTTTACGTTGGAATGTTAATTTTGAGTTTTGGATTGTCAATTTATTAAGATACTGTGGTGAAGACAATCCTCCGAACCACAAAACGTAGCCTCATCTCTGCAAATAATCTGATCTCATGTACACATGTGAGTGGTCTGTCACTATATCTGGTGTCCAAAACCCCTCCAGGTCTCTGTGGTGTACCAGCAGTCCCCTTGTGGAGAAGCCTGCAGAGCCCAAAGTTCAGTTTGTCTCTCCAAGATATTAGCACAGGCGCTCTTGTCGCACTGTATCCCTGGCACTCAACTGGTTTCAAGACTTAGCCTTATACATAATCCACTACAATCAACAATGAACACCCCACAGAGACTCTGGACTTTTAGGACTAATTCCAGGAATACATTCCATAGTGAATATGCTAAAATTCCCTTTGGAACCATCTTGCTTCAATTAAATCAAAAACAAAATCCTTGCACCTATTTCATTAACATTCACAAACCCTTCAAACCTTTACTGATACTGTATGGCTACCTGTTGATAGGACAGCACAGGAATCATACATGCTTTAAACCTACTACAGTCCAAACTACCACTGTCTCCCTGAACTGCAGGGCTCAGACACAAAGCTCTAGCCTACCCTCACCTGGCTATTAATATACCTGATGGCTAATTGTGTGGAATGTCCAATTACCATAAGGAACCAATCAATCCAAATTGGGCCATCAGGTGTGTCCAGTTCGCTCTCCAGAAGGAGGTAATGACCAAAGTCTCAGCTTGCATCATCACTGTTACTACTGGAAGACACTGCTGAACAGAAAAATGACCAAAAATGAACACAGTCCAAAAATTATCAGCAGACCAAAACATTTAAGAAAAAATAAAACAGTATATGTTAATATTATAGAAAACAAAGTCTTTAGTTCTAAACTCTTTGAACACACTACTGTTTTTACTTCTTCCCAAATCTACTTCAATATTTTCATAACATTTACAAATGTCCAAAAGACAGTTTGTAAATGTTATGTCCAATTTGTTGTTTGTCTCTTTGAAGTCAAAGATGGATCAAAGATGGAAAACGCTTTTAATACTGGAAGAGACCAAAAATAACAAGTCCTCTATTTTAAAATAAATCAATTAAGATTCTTTAAAAATTAAGTGTATTTTAGCTTGGGGTCTTTTTGAGATTGTCAGCCCATTTCTCCCAGCATTTTCTTAGTGCAAAAACAAACACTTGAACATTTCTGGACTCAACTGGGTTCTCCGTAAGGAACTTAATAACCTCAAGATGGTGTAGTGTAGGGCATTCATGTGTAGACTCTGAAGAATGTTAATAAAAATACCACCAACTTCGTTGCGGTTTACGAGTGGGGCTGGATAGCAGGAGCAGACGACGTCAAAGCTTCTTGACCCCACCCCTCGATACTGCTGTCTGATGGGGAATTACGGGGTCCTCCGAGGTCAGGGGAGGGGGGAGTCTCCACCTGTGCAGCGATGACAGATAGGGAGGAGGGCTTTGGAGACAGGGGGGTGACAGAAGATGGGATTGTGCTTTGTATGCTGCTGTATGGTAGTTTCCTGACCCTTTCCCACAAGAATAAAATAATGTGAAGATCTGTTTGCAGTTACTGACCGACTAATTCTTTTCTGGTAGATGCTGTTGGATCAGGTATTTAGCTCATGAAAGACTAATCTATGAACTTTGCTGTGAGCTCAATCTTTTGAAGACCTGACTGTACAAGGCACTTGATTTTGAATTGTTTCTTTGTGTTCTTACATTGCTATTAAAAAAAGTTACACTCATTTACAGCAGCCTCCTTATAAACTGGCCTTTACAGATGTGTGTGAATCAGGGAATATTATTACATTTATGTGAACCACAGTTGTGATTTTGGAGTAGAAGGAATGCTCATTGTGGGTGGCATGTAAGTGCAATGGTTAGATTTGCTGTCTTGCAGTGTTGAGGCCATGGCTTCAATTCCTGAGGTGCTATCTCCTTGGAATTTGTATGTTTTCCTTGGAATTTGTATGTTCGTCTTGGGTTCATATGGGCTTCCTCTGGGTGCACTGGTTTCCTCCCACAGTCCAATGACTTACAGTACTGATAGGTTAAATAGCTTAAAGGAAAAGCAGCCCTGGTGTGAGTTTGTGTATCTGTGTTTGTGTGTGTGACCTGGCAAGAACTCGAGTTCCATCCAGGGTGTAACGCATCTTTCAGCCTTTACTCGCTGGGATAGGCTCTGGGGACCCAGTACCTGATAAGTTGTTAGAATATGAATGGGAGGAATGCTCATAAATAAAAGGGGTTTGGATCCACATTAGTTACAGCTAGACCTCTTAGTTGCTAGTCTTATTACATGAAAGGCTTGTAATGAAAAATACTGACTGGGTTTTCACTGGGTTGACCTAGTCTGTGCCCCTGAGGATTTTGAATGCTTGAATATGAAATATGTTTAATCTTGGTCTTCATTGCCCAGGATTAAACATATTTCACATTCTTTTAAGTCTGGGAAAGTATTTGGTAACTCTTTTCCGGACTGATTCCAGAGCACAAATGACCATAATTGTACACAATATTCTAAATGGGATTTTCTAACTGCCTTGTATAATTTTTGCATCCCTTGATTTACATTCTACACAACATACACAAAGCTTAATAGACTACATATAACCTAATATTCTGTTTGCCCTTGTATTTTTCCCTACTTTGCCTACAAACCTAAACACCCTACAGTATCTGCTCCTTCAAGCTCAATATCATTAGAAATTCTAAATGTTAAAATACAAAATCATCAAATTTCTTGTAGATTGTGGCAATCTTACAGGCTGAGAGAAGAACTGTACTACTGGTCTGGTGTTTGTGAAAGCAACTGGTTACGCTCAGGCAGAGCAGTTTTAGGATGGACAGGGGATGTTTTGGGTATGATTAAGGTTGAGTATCCCTCTCAGACGCAGGTTAGTATACTTGAGTGCACTACGTAGGTCTGAAGGAATCTCAATGATAGAGCACCAGATCAGTGGCCGAGAAAAGCTTAAATATCCTGGACTTGGTGGAATTAGCCCATTAATTGGAGGGAGGATGCTGGAACAATCGGCCTGAGTCCAGACAGCCCCGTGTGGAATTTAGCTCCTGAAGCCCCTGGTTTCCAAAGAAAACAAAGGTGGGGATAACAGAGACACATTGAGCTCATCTGGTTCTATTTCTCTGTAGTCCCATTGTTGGTAGGTAGTGGGTGGTCTCAGATGTTAATCAAAATGAAAACCGAAGGTTTTACATTGAAATAAAGTATGTTATATACATGTTCATCCTGTTATTACTAAACAGAAATGGCAGGCTCTACTAAATAGGAATTGGTTTTCAAATACAAAGGGGATCTTTTTTCTGCATCGGTCCATATGTATCCTGCTTGTTTCCCTTTCACACAATAATCTCACTAATATCCCACTGATGCTGTACAGTTTAGAATAAAGTACAAGACTGTACACTATGCCAAGATCTCCTGTTTATACATAGGATACACTTAATCATTAGAAGTATTTCTTGTACTGAAGACATTTTTATAGCTGCTTGGACTTGATTAGGCTTATTGTCCCAGGGATTGGGAAAAAACCTCAATAACTCATTTTCTTTGTAAAACAAAGACATGTAAATTCTGCTTTTTTAGTACAGTATGTGTTCATAATATTGCAGAATCATGAAGTAGAGAAAGAGATGCACATGAGACGAGATCCACTTGAGAAAATGTGCATGGTGTATATTGATGTGTTTATGTTGTTGGACAGAGTGAGGGTGAATCAAATACTGCATGTTTTTACATCACAATCAGTGAATCCAAACACTGATAATCCAGGCACATATTTTATCCGTGTAAGGTTGGAAGACGCTTAATGTGTGTAGACCCTCTCAGGAGCCTGAACAGGCCTTGCATCAGCAGCTGGCAGCCGTCTCATTATCATAAACTGGTGATGATATCTACACAATCGATGGGTCTCCTGCACTACTACAATAAAGCACAGATCGAACAGGCCACCAAAGTGGCGTGGTGATTGTCTGCTCCATGCTCTTTCTGGGGTCACATCCTTCACACGCTCTGGCTACTGTCCAGAAGGTGCTGGCAAGGTTAGTGTCTCTAATTTGTCCATCTGTGTTTGAGTGAGCCCTGCCATGGACTGGCCATCCGGTGCGTTATCCCCCCTTGCACCCCAGTTGTTTCACTAGAGACCCCAGGTTGCCACAGACTCTCTTGCTACTTTCTCATAACAGACTGTTAGATGTTTATATCTGCATCATGAGAACTGGGGCAAAAATTTGCAAACAATCATGGCAGAAAACAGGAAAAATGTCTTATTGTGATTCTTGGATCTTCATATTAGCAGAAACTATGATGAGCAAGATGGACTAAATGACCTTGTTCCAATCCACAGGGAAAAAAATGACCATGCACATCAGGATTTGCAAGACAAATAGCACCATAACACCCTTTATATTGTCCAAAAAGGGAAAACAAAAGCAACAAATGTCTCTCTGCAGCTGTTCTTCAATCAGGCTGTTTTAACAGGTCTATTTCAGTACTTCAATCCCATCAGAATTGGGCAGTTCTCTACCACAGCTGAAGTGTAATCCTTCTCCATTGCAGTCCAGGGTGAAGCGACAGGTCTCACAGTCAAGATACATTGAAGGAAGACGTTATTGTAATCAGAACGTAAACACTGGTAATCTAACAAACTTTATAATTCATTTCGGAAGCTACTACATAATCTTAAAAAGGATGTTAACTTCACTGCTTTCCTCCATTTTATTCCCAGTCCAGTATTTGCAGGATATCCTCTTAACGTCAAATAAAGTACAAGCAATTTCCTCAAACCTTAAAAGAACAAAGACAAATAAATTACTCCCCTCCTAATCTAGGTATGACACCTTTAAAATTTTACAGAAGCGTTTATAAAAGTAAATAAAGCTTTAAAGATATACATAAAGGCAAGCCATATACAGTAGGTTTGGAAAAAAAATGTTAGAACTCCTGCCTTTTTGTTTTGGGAATTGTTCTGTACTGTATCATATGAAGACAGAAGGGAAAAAAGCCATTGATCCAGAAATAACTCCTTTAATCACCCTCGGCCGGCATTTATGGAAATAAAAGGGTGCAACTCTACAAGAAAATGTCTCAACACATACAGTTCATGGTCATATTTAGACTGCTGCATGGCATTTTACATTCTTATAATAACTATCTGGATCACTGACAATGCCTAATGAAAAGCAGTGTAAAAACACTTTAGACAGCTGTACACAACATTTGAATTTAAAAAAATGCCATACCATTTGTGCAGTGAATGTTCATGTACTATTTTCCATCTGCTAGGCTATCCCCGCTACTGTGTTGCCATTCTGAGCAATATTCACCCTTTTTCTCCATCCTTGACAGGCTTGCGGGCCTCCTGTTCTCACAGACTTGCAGCGGTGCAGAGGTCAAGCAATAAAAGCTAAATTGATGTTAAGGGCCACCCATGTTGTGTAACCAGAAAGGTCCACCTCTGGAGTGCAGTAAAAGCCGATTTGTGGTATTAAGTAGCAGATTGAAACAGTGATGCCACAAGCAGTGGCAGATTTTCCTTCAACTTGCCCATTTTACTAAAATTTAAGCACCACCTAACAATACGAAGTTCTTATGAATGGCTGATCACAAATTACCCTTTAGTTGTAAACAGGATATTGACCATGATAACAGCCCAATCAGCATGTCACCTTAAATTTCCACATTTTAACTATCCAGTATCCAGCAGCTGAAACCCCTTCAGGCTCCTAGATGCTTCATTAGTCCCCCTCTAAGGGAAAAGGCAGCCTTTGTTCTTCTTTCAGATCTTTCCTTAACACCAGGTCTTCACTAATCAGCATTCAGTAACCTAGTCAGGCAGTGGAGTATTCTACCTGACCATGTTCCCTTATCACTTCAATACCTTTATCACATGCCACTAATATAATAAGGTTAACCTAATTCAACCTAATCTTTCCCAAGTGCATGCTCTTCCCAAACAACATCTCACTCTTTTCATTCCTAAGTAGACCAGCTGATCCTGTCTGGCCAGGGATGCATCTCTGTCCCCAGTAGCAACCACTCACACCCCTGACAGCAGCAGCCACCAGGTTTCCACCCCCGCTCAGAGACCATAGACTTGTCTGCTGATAATCTAGCCAGAGAGTACTCATAACTCCAACTGTGCAGTCTAGACTCCTTTCACTTTGAGCTATGGAGAGACAATACACTGCTACCTTGCCAGGCACTTCACTACTCCTGTAGACAGTAATATCTCCCAGCAAAGCCTTTCAACTTCATTGAGCCTGGTGAACAAAGTTCCCACTACAATCCAACTGTCCAAACCTGTGATAAGTATAGCCCTAAGTATAGTCTAACAATAGTTTCTGTGGCCTCCTTAACTCATTGAGTTCTACAAGCCTGTAAGCCAGCTCTATCCATTGCTATGAAGGCTTCCCCTCTAGCAAACACAACCCCCTTTCATGCTGGAGGCTTAACACAAACTAAAACCCTTTTCCTCCAGGATGTTCTTAAACAACTTGCCATTAGTCCAGGGGGAGTGGCCAGTTCCAAACAGACACACCTGAAGAAGGCTCCACGGCCGAAACGTTGTGTTCTCTTTCTTCTTTTTTTCAGCATGGAATAAACCTATTACTTGTTCCTTTGCAGCCTACGCATGCTGACGCAGCTCCCCACCTGAACTACTATCCTATTTGCTCTTCTCCCTCATGTGGAATCTCACTCTCTCTGAATATCAATTATTCAAATTAGCTCTGGTGTGCTTCATTTTACACTGGCTGTTCTACTTAATAGCTGGCTTTCTCTTAAAGCCACCTCTCACTCTCTCATGGATGTTATATCCTATACCCACTTCTTTATCACCAATCTAGTTAAATTAAATTCTCCACTGTAGTTACACACTATATGGTACTATATTTCTTTTTTCTCTTTAGCATTCCTGTGATAAAAAGAATAGAAGAAAGGTACGCAAAAACCCACTAAATTGCAAAACAGTGCAGGAGAGAAGATGCTTTGAAAACTTACAGCGATAAACGTCAAACCTTTTTAATGTAAAAATGTCAAGAATTTATTAATGGAAAAAAATGACAGGCATGTTAAACATCTGTTGCAAAACGTAGACACGTACAATCTTATGTTTTTTGAAACACACTCTTTAAAGTTATGTGGAGCAGTGGGAAAAATGTTATATGTAATAATGAAGTGGTGTTCATAATACTCCTTGGAGATTCATGGTGCTATAGTAAATTCCTAAAAGTCCCAGCCCCGCACCCCCCAGAAAAATCATGCTGTACATCTATTTTTCATCATGTTGCATGTCAGAAAAATTAAGTCCTTCCCAGCTGCATGGTATCTCTTCACATGTGGCCCTGCCAGCAGTGTGACAAAGCTCTATATAAGCCCTCTGCTGAACACAAAGAAATGGAGCAGTGATTCATCCAGAGGCATGATCTCCGAAGCTTCAAACACTTTGAAGGTGGGGATGTGCTTGATATAGATGCCACATAAGCATATATATATATTAGTATCATTAAGGTATACATCATACATCATATAAGTTGCAGCCATCTGTAACACTGATACCAACTGGCTACAGACCAACTGCAAAGCAAGGTGGCAAAGACTGGAGGTATAATTGACAAGAACAACTCATTCTTACTGTACCCCTTATTAATTTCACAGAGCTCCTTTCTTCCTGCGTTTTGTAGTTCAAATCAATCAGTTCATATCAATTGTCCACGGATGTCCGAGTTAGTTTTGTGAGTGTAGTGGTGAAACTGGGATACAAAGTCATGATGGAGGCCCGAGACCTGTTCAATTTGGGGTAGACCCGCCGCAGGACAGCCCTCCTGAAAAGAATGTAGACCCAGGGGTCGAGTATCTGGTTCCAAGTGGCAAAGCGGATCCAGAGCAGCAGGCGTGAGATGTTGAGGGGGGTATTTGACAGCACTTTTTGCGCAATAAACACCTATGGGGGGGAGAAGGTTAAAGCAGGTTAGTATTAGAGAAAAGGTGAGATATCTGACTTATTACTTGTCCATTGATGCGGCTTTGTTACGAACGCCATTCTGTAATGGGTTTTCATGATTCAGAATAAATACACCCATCTGTGTAAGGTGTGAAACCATGATTGAACCATAGTACAGTACAGTGACAATGCAGTTAGCATTGCTGCCTTGCAGGACTAGGCTCAATGTAATACAGTATCTCCTGTTTTTGTTCACAATGCACTCTTGTAAAATTTGCATCCATGATCCTCCTATTGTGCTGCATTCCAGTAAGATCCATTAATATTTGATGATTCTTTTGCATGGAAGAAGTAAATTTGATAAATTATTGGTTGCAAGAAAAGGAAATGGATGGATGTTTTCAACCATGAAGACCCAGGAGCCTTCAAAACAACTCATAAATAACTCATAACCTGGACAAGGTTTGGGATATCACCATTACGACAGCAGTGAACATTGAAAGAGTTCAGTGGCAGAGATCTATAGATATATCTATGGGTATAAACTTTTCCTGTCATGTAAGAAAGGAGGCTTGAAGTGAAAACAAGCATCTTAAATCATACACAGGGTTTGCAACAAACACCTTAGTGATGCTGCAAGTGATACAGTGATACTGTCAAGCATGGCGGTGACAGCATGGCAGCATCATGTTATAGTTCTGCATCTCATCAACAGGAAATGGAAAGCTTGTCAAGATAACCAAATGTCCTTTCGTTGCCCTGTGGAAAGACTTGAAAACTGCTACCCATAAGCAACTTGAGAGAGCTAGAGAAATTCTGCCAAAGAAAATGGGCCAGCATTGCATCAGGCCAGTGTGCAAAGCCAATAGAGACTTACTCTAGAAGATTTGTTGCTGAAATCGATGCCAAAGGTGCTTCCACCAGATATGGAGTTCACTGGTCTAAATACTTAGGCAGTCGACATGTTTAAATTTTTTCTAATTAGCTTTTGCTGACAATTACTGTAACTTATCTTACCATAGATGTCCTCAAATTGAGGATTCAGGTTTTGAATAGCTAACCTCTTTTGGTCAGCTACCACCCAAATAACTTTTAGACTGTAAGTTACTGCAGCGTGTGTTATGCTTTCATAGAGCTAGCTGAAATATACATAGACAGTACTGAGCACGCAAATACAAAACGGTGTTCATAGTGCTCAAAATGTTACTTCCACTGTGGCACTTAAAGAAGACTAATTCAGGCCCCGGAAGAAAAGCAGTTTAAAACCAGAGGTATCTCTCAGCAGTAGCACTCTTCAAAATAGAGACAGAAGCGCTCACAAAACATTTTAATTAGAAAGATGGAATGATAATGTGGCATTTTGACAAAAGACAGGATATGGAAGCAATGATGGGTATTCAGATGTGCTACTCAATATGACCTTATTCCAAAAGACTGTTAAGCAATGAAGAGCAAGATGGCTGGTATTTTGTAAATCATGAGGGTTGGATTGAGAGATGAATATGCAAATAATTTTTGCGGTTGTGTAATCTATAATGCAAACGTGACAGCCTAACGATGCAGCCAAGGTTAAACATGCTGAGAAGACTGATGAATGAAGCCAAGGCAGATGACTTTATGATGGGGCACTATCCAGTACTTATTAAGATGAGAGCAGGGCAGGTAATGACTCAAGACCAAGGGCACTGCAACCAAAGCTTCTCCTTTCGAAAGTGATGGCCAGAGCTGCAGTGGTCATCTGGGACTTTACTCGCCTGAGATAGGACTCCCGAAAAAGGATGTAAATCCAGGGGTCAAGGATCTGATTCCAGGTGGCAAACCGCACATACATTAAAAGGGATATGTGGTCTACCAGAAGGCCTGACATTGCATTCTGTGCAATGAAGATCTGTGTAGGAGAAGCAAAGAGGGTTAGAGAGAACCTGCAGTCTGCTATGATAAAAAAGGCATTGTGAAGGACCAGAATTGCCATGGAATAGGACAGTTGTGTTTTTAGTAGTCATTAGGACACTGAGTTTGTATTATTCACTACAGACACCTGTGAGAGTATCCAGACCTTTCCCTAATAACAGAGTAATTAACATGGATATAAAGTAACCCCCAACAACTGCTAGAGTCAGCATCTGATTCCACACACCCACAAGGCTTTGTGTAAAGAAGGATATTCTTCTATTTTTGTGCCGAGATTAGTTGTACATAGGATAATGACTGGCTCTTTTGCAAGTTTACAGGAAATGTGTCTGTCTGCAGGCTTGATCTTGACAGTTTATTTTCAGGATTTTTAAATCTCTGGTCAGATCTCATCGGAGTCTTATTCATGGAGAAAAAATAATTTTATTTTACATTACAGTACATTTCTGGCCCGATATCATTGTGATTGTCCTTCTCTGTGTTCTTTCCCGTATTCCTTTGTTGTTTTTCTGTAACATATTTACCAACAAAAAACACAAATGTTCTAGACAGGTTTGAACCGATGAACATCATGGCATGTAGGGAGTGTGGAACTGTCATCTCATGCTGCACATAGATTGGGAGGAAGAAAGAAAGCATGAAACAAATAAAGGGCTTCCTGTCATGGCCTGTGTGCATGTGAAGAGCAAGATAACCGCAACCACAGGGATATCAAAGGAGGACACACGCTGGCACATCTGCTGCAGGAGCAGAGGAAAGTGGTCTGAGAGAGGGAGAGCTGGCCAGCTCCACTCTGCAGTAAGGAAATCTAAAGAGCTATGACTTCCAGGACATTCCGGAATATCCAAACAGGCCTCTGTCTTGCTGGCAAACATTTTTGAAATACTAAAAAACTGAAACTGTAAAGAAAGGGGGGGGGGGTTTACGGTCTCCCTCATTTTCTTCTTAGAGTGCAAAAAAAGTCTCGTTTGCTAAGCGTAAGCTAATTTCTGAGCATTATGTATTTTCTGAACCATCTACCCTGCTTCATTCCTTGCAAGTGAGGGGGATGTGACAGGCCAGCACTGTCACTTCCTCAGCCACGTGAGTGAACAGAAAAGTATTAAGAAAGCGACGTCTTTTTATTCTACAGATTCTTTTTGCTAATTTGCTGAAAATACCGAATAGATATTTTTTTCTTCTGAGAGGAACAAGATATTTCATCAGTATACCACAATATTCCAATGTTAAAAATTTCCCTTCAGCTAAACTTAAACTTTTACTGAATAAAATGCTTTCCATTGTTAATTAAATCTATATATTCATTAGAAAAGAAAAGCTTTGGAGAAAGGAGAATACCATTCTCTGCATTTGTAAATTAAACTCTGAAGATCTCCTTAAATGTATATTACAGGTAATGTTGTAATAAGATAGAATACGAGTAAGAATAAGAAGCATTATTAGACCTGATCCAGGACAACCTGTATATATACTCATTTGTATTCTCTGTTACTAAATTGAAACCTTAATAAAACAAATATTTTCTCATTTATTTAACTTGATTTGTTCCTTAAAGTCAGTGAGTTTGTATCTCTTTGCTGACTCATATGAACGGATGACCTCTGTCCATGATGGTTCTGATGTGAAATCATTTGCACTGCTGTGTGTGAAAATATTAAATACAAATTAGCAAATTCCGTGTTTTTTTTTCTATATTAACACTCTTAGTAACATGATCTTTTTAGGAAAGTCAAATGTAATTTTATCATAAAAGTGACGTATCATTTAGGATTAAAATCCTAAATTTCTTTTCATCTAACAGTTTTTGCTTGATTCATCAATAGCTTACAGGTTTTTAAAGTCTGTCTCTAAACACAGGTGACCTACAGTATGAGACTAACTGGACTGAAGCTCCCGAGACAAGGAATGAAGACCCCTGATCTAAGTAAACCGAAACACAAATCATTTTGAGTGATCCAAGTGCATTGTCTTGTGGGCTATTTAATACAATCTTGGGGTTATTTGGTAATACACAATTTCAGATTTATCTAGCTGAAAAGGCCCTGCTTTTGATTTCCTTGTCTGATGATCAACACAGATTCCTACAAATGTCTTGTACATTATTGTGATGTGACCCTGCAGTGCACTGCACAGGTCCCTCAGTCACGTACGACTGTGGCACGAGGTGTAGAGTGCCAGGAGAACACTCACCAGCAAGGGACACCAGCAGACAGATGCGATGATCATGATGCATATCAGCTGGACCATCATCTCCACCTCATGGTCCCTCCGCCGCTGCACAGACTCACGGTTGCAGCACACCCTGAAGAGCGTCACCACACTCACTGTGTTCAGGACGAAGGAAACTGCCAAGGACAGCAGCCCCACCATGGAGAAGATGAGGCAGAAGGTCAGGTCCCAGGGCTCAGAAGTGATGCTGAAGAAACACCAGGACCCAGGAATTTGCATATGGTAACTCCCCAGGCCCAGCACAGGTAGGAGACCAATACAGCCAGCGAACACCCACACCACGAGCACAGTGGACATGGCACGCCTCTTGGACATGTTTGTGGGGCGGGAAAAAGGCTGGTTGATGCCCATAAAGCGTTCTATAGCCATGGTCCCCCCCAAAAGTAAGGGACACAATCCATAGAAGACCATGGAAATGCCCATGAAGTTACAGAAATGGCAGTCTGGGTCCAGCTCTTTCCAGTTGAAGTGGGTAGTGTGGAAAGAGATGACGATGGATCCAGTTACCAGGAGACCCAGAAAGTCTGTCACTACCAGGCTACCTAGAAAGATGAGGAAAGAGGACCGGGAACGACTCTGTGTCCGTTGGTAGGACTTGACCAGCACCACAAAGGCGAACAGGTTGGAGGCCAGTCCTAGTGTGGTGAAGACAGTCGAGAAGTGTTGAGAGGCAATGGGCAAGGTGTAGTTGAAAGGCGGGTTGTTTTTCTGGAAGCACAAGCTTAATGCTGAAGTGTTTGAAGAGGATGAGGTTCCCATGATTTCTGGAGACAAATCTTAAAAAATAGTGTAGTTCTTAATCCAGCTTGGGAGTGTTCTGCTTCTCTGAAGCTCAGCTTCTCAACCTGGAAAAAGACAGGGAAGGACTCCTAATCAGGCATATTAATCATTATATTAAGTAAACTTTAGATGATTTAAATAATGCATGAAATGTTTTCAAGAATTTCTATGGTTTCATGATTCTGCTCGTCCTAAATGGATTTCTAATGCAGTCATCTTTTGTTTTTGGTGCACCTAAATATCCGTCACGATCGGGATCCCTCATCTTCAGGGCGCTCCGACCCTTTTGTATTTTAGTTGATTATGTGCACCTGCCTCCTGTTTTGTGTCTCATTATTTAAGCCGGGCGCTGTTGCTATTCCTGGCTCAGCACTGGGAGATGGACGCCCGGAAGCCCGCCTACCAGCAGATCCAGGAGAGACCTGACTGCATAGGCTTCCTCACAGCATCCTGACCGTCTAGGTACAGGGGTCGGAGCGCCTGGCCTCGTTACTTTTTTTAACTTCTTGTTCCTGTTACGGATTTTAACCCTGTCTTGTCTTGGATGGATCATCCTGTTTTGGACTTTGGACTGTACACCAGATTTCCCGTGTTGGACTGTCTGGACCTGTTTGCTGTCGCCACGCCCCCCGAGCGCCAGATCACCGTCGTCATGTCCCCTGTCTCTCTACCCTACTATCCTGCTGTACCTTCCCTGGATGTCCTTTTCCACTTACGTTTGGATTATTCTGTCTGCATAGGGTCCTGAACTATGCTTCACAGGAGCCTGGACTGGCTCCCGTTACAATATCAGAGTGAAAACATTCAAAACAGCCCTGCTGATTACACTCACTGCTCACAGGAATGCAGGGAAGAGCACACAGAGCAAACATAACCACACACAGATTTAATCATACTGGAATCATTCCTGGAAATGGTTGTTTCAGATCAGGATATGAAGGGTATTCCCTACACTCTTACAGACAGCTGAATTTGTCTATCCTACTCAGAGGTTTTGAAAGAAAAAATCTGACTGATATATTTATGTAAAATATTTGTTTCTACTGTTATCATTTTTCTATTATGTAATCCTGTAGTATTATGGATTCAGCACTATTTCGTGTCCATCGCTGTTGGGGGTGACTTTTCCAGAAAATATCTTAAGAAAAATATCTTTTCAAAATAGCCACCAACACTGTTATGCTCTGAAGCCCACAGCTTAAATACTATTTGCACAAATATGTTTCAGAACTTTCTGAACAGAGAAAGAAAACTGAAAATCAATGTTTTTGCAGTTTCTTACAATGTGAAAGGTATTGTAATTTTAGAGGTGTTAAAAGAAGTTTCAAGTTTTTGAACAACCAACAGTTTTCTGTTGAATAACTGTTGAAAGTAATTTTTTCTTCAAACATTTTCACTGTTACCCATTGTAGATGGCTGGCTATGATACCCTTATCTCATATAAGCTTGTAAGAGTTTTACCTGTAGTGATACTGTACTTAATACATCAGGTATTCTGGGCTCTGAATTGTAAGTCAAAAAAGTTCAGTCAGTTTTCACCTGACATGATTGTGTGACCCATCTGCCATGAATTTGCACTTTAATCCCTACTTTGCCTTCATCACCACATTTGGAAACTGACATCACAGCACACCCATGGCTGCTGAACCATTGATTTTGCCTTTTAAGGCCCACAAGATAAGGTATAAACATGGTGAACTACTGTACTTATCTGAGTTATGGAAATTTTTTTTTTAACAACAGACAGAATTAAGCAGTGCATAGTTATGAGGAGTGTTCTGTTATTACATTACACTGAAAAAGAAAAAATTGTAAATATTTAAGACAAGAGCTCTTTGGTGCACAGATAGTAAAACTCCCTTTATAATTTTGGCATGGGAGACTGCAGTTGTTACTATAATAAAGGTCAGTGAAAATGCTTCCACTTTCATAACTAGTCTTTGAAGGGCCTGTCTCTGAACCTATGGCACAACAGCAAACAGTCTACAGAAGAGATTGCTTTGAAATCTAAGCTGAGCTCACATGTGAAGTGTGAAGCTCACATTGCAATGTATATCCTGTTTCTCTGCAGATCCATCAAAAGATGTATAAATAGAGAACAAATGGTTCAATTTATTCAACTATTCTTATCATTTGCATAGATAGTGATTTAATTTATTGCAGCTACAGACAGGAACTTGAAAACTATCAACATCTCTACCTCCGTTATGTCTCAGTAATGTATTTCATGCAATAAATCACTCACAGCATTTTCGGATCTCAGTGAGAAATGGTCAAGCTTCCAGTTAAATAGTTGTGCTATTCTTCAATGACTTTGAAGTTATTACTAGGAACCAGGTTTTTGCAAACCAGTTAAATTTCCTTCCAGTCTTACTAATGTTTAAGATTAAGGTCCTGCCAAGTCTTCAATGCCCATCTCCTTCAGCTCTGAGCTGTGTTCCGATGCTCATTCCAGCTGGTTCTCTACTGCTCCTTGAGCCACTTTATGAAGTGTCTACTAGCGCTCTACAGTATGTGGGACTCCAGATGTGATCTCACTAATGGGCTGTACGGTTTCAGCACACCCTCTCATCCGAACCTCTCTTGTGTCGGACTTTCCACTGTGTGCTGTGGAACCAAACATTCTGTTTCTTCTTGCATTGCTAAAATGCTGTGATTCCAGGTATAGAATCACAAAAACAAAACAGAATTTATTCTGAAACACCATTATACTAGCTATTAATAGAACAGAAAAAGTACAATAATACAGTTTTTAGAGATATTTTGTCTGTCATTACAGGAGGAGTGGTAGTCACTACAGTAACCTAAGTGCTAATTTATTTTGCCTGCAGTGGGCAACAAGTCTTTTTAAGTTTGTACCAGTTTGGTGCATATTCACTTCCTTCTTGTTTGAAAAGTGATTCATAAGACTAATTGATAGCAAAACCATGCTACCAAAACAAACAGACACCAAAGGGATTAACTATACAGAAGATGACTCACAACACCGCAGGAGCCTGAACAACAGAAGAAAATAATACGAACTAAACAGTACAAACATGTGGATGGGATAAATGGAATCCAGTAGTGATGGTTTTCACAGATGTCAGTAATTGTCAGGATACAACTCCATGAGTTAAGAGACCTTAAAAACATTCTGCTGCGATGTAAAATTTGTCCAACTTTCTTCTTCCAAAAATATATTTTTAGATTTTAGATTCTTTTTATTATATGTTATTATCATCTGCTTTATATTTGTTCTGCCCAAATGCTCAGATGTACAAAGCTGTGTGATTATATGGTCTCTGGCATCGTACTGGAGATCACTAAGGCTAAAGTACACAGAAGCCTCCCCTCACATCACTCCCCATCCCCAATCCTCTATTCCCTCTTCCTGTGCAGCTCTCTCCTCTAGTCTGAAGTTCAAGGTGTAGTAGTAAAACAAACTAAACCATGTTGGGTTGTAAGTGGTGCTGGTAGACCAGTAGATGGGCTCTCTTCTCTCTGGAGCACAATTTCCAAACAAAAGCCCCAGAATGGTAACTGGGGACACTGTGCTGTAGATTAAATTTAGGTCCGGACAACTTGGTCATTAAAGATCCTATGCCATTATTCCTGATATCCGGTCTTATTTCTTTTCTCAGTTTGTACAATCTGTCCTCCGCAAAGCTCCCTCTTAATTGAGTTAGAGAACAAATGTTCATACTATTGTAAATTTGCTTAAAATTCATATTCGGCACTTATATGACAACTGAGGCATTGATTGTGGCGGGATATGGCCAATGCTCTTATGTTCTTGTGTGTTCAGTACTGAGTGCAGGAGTGGCATGTCTGTCACTGACATCACTACATGCCTGCTCCACTTGGGAAACTGCTGTTTCACCAAAAGCCAAGAATGCCTTGGCCTTAATCCAAACCTGGGTGGTGTTCTGTCCATTGAGCACCATTGCCTGGGGACTCCTGCAAACAGCTGGCTAATGAAGTGATCCAGGCTCAGGTGAAGGCACTATTGTTTTAACTTGGCAGTGTAAGGTACCAAGTCCAATTCAATGATGAAAAGCAAAAAAAAAAGAAATACAAGGTTTTAGCTGTTGAGCCCTTTTCTTTTCAACTTAACAGCCAACATGTACAGTAGTGCTTATTCTTTCTACATTTTTGGATATAATTAACCTTTACTTGTTCTTTTGCCTCCAGTGCATTCTGACCCAGCTCCCCACTTGAATCATTGCAGAAAGATAGTTGCTGGCAATGTTGTTAGACCTTAGTGTGAGAGTGTTCTTAGATGGTTCTCCTTTTTAGTTTCACTTTTACACATTTATACAGTACCTCAAAAAAGGAAAAAAACATTTTCACTTAGCTGCACTGGGTGTGGGTACAATACAACTCCCTGCTTGAGATCTGAGATCATATTTACAATGAAGTAGTGTCATGTTTTTAAGTAGTTTTAGGTAGCTATGCTATGCTACAGTATGATTATCCTACTGTTTCGCATTGTCTTCTGAAACAGTGCATATAAACATCAAGTTGAAAGAGAAGCTCCAAATAACCACAACTCGTTGGCAAAAACGTGTCTCCAATTTTCAGTTTCAAACACACCCATTTTGACCGTGCCAATATTCCACTGCTTTATATAGAAACTGATATTTTTTCAATCTTTCAGTGCATGTGTAAATTGGAAATTCTAGGCGTTTTGTATAATGGTTCACTATTGGAAATCCCTGAAGACAAAAGGCGACAAATGAACTCAGGATATGAGTTTAATTTTGTTTTTTGTTGATCTTTTTTCCTGTCTGGGTTCTATCTCAAAACAACAACACATCATCCAAAAACGTTGGAGTGGTTTCAAGGAGAAAGGATTTCGCTGGTTGCCACTCTAATGAAGACCATGACTATAAATAAGAAGAAACAAAAATACAGTGGAATCAACAGGAGGCCGTGGGATTTAAATACCCTTTCTAGGTTATTGTGTCCGGACATTGTGGACTACTGTAGCTTCTATGGCCAGCTTGCTCAAATGGTGTAAGAACAATTACAGTACAGTACCCATATCACACTAGGTTTCTTCCCTGGCAGGGTGTTACCCAGGCAAAGCATGTCAGTGTAGAAAGAACACCAGTGTCTGGACTTTGTAGCAGGCAGATATTTTTTAAACTCTTAATTAGGATGTTTACATTGGCACGGTCGTGATAAAAACAGTGGGAATGTCTCTGGCTTGACTCAGAAAGACTGACTGAGATTCCAGGAGTCTGTTTTCTAATGTGCCACAGGCTCCATCAATGACTTCAGAAACCCAAAAGACCCAAAACTTCAGAAACAAAGCTGCATTAGTGTTTTTTCAGATGTAGTGTCGACATTTAAAAAAAAAGAAATAATCTTTTTGTAATTTTCATAATTCCTGCCAAGAATCAGCAGAAAATGTACTTCCTGACATTTTCTGGTAGGGATGATCTGGTTGACATTGTGTCCTCCAGATGTAACATTCATTCCTATTGACAATTTTTGAAAGACTCAAAACAGAAGTATTTTGTATTTATCTGGATATTTCCAATATAGTTAGATGGAAGACAATGAACACTTTGTTTAAGAAGCTCAGAATTCATGCTTCATTACAATACAGAATAAACTGCTGGACTTTATTTAAATTCTAAAACATGATATTGAATCATTATTACACTGAAAACTGTGCTTGCATTCCTAAACTTTGATCTTTGGGAAAAAGGAGGTGAATTTATTTAAGTCTGGTATAATTCACAGAATGAAAGCAAAAGCAGAGGGTGAAACTAAACTGATATCATAAATTGACCACAGTATCCCCAAGGCCTGATTAACCTGGAGATATCTGCAGATTATTTTTTCTGAATTAGGTTTCCTGCTGTGAAGTGAGGTTAAAGGAAACTAATCTCTTCATTAACAAGTAATCCCCTTCCAAGTGGGATTTACTACAGAACTTTAAATTTTCCATTTTGAAACTGAGAAGATAAACTGAGAGATAAAATCAACCAGGGAAGTCAGGATATGCCTTCAAACTACAGTATCGTAACTTTTACTCTTAATCAGACCTGCTCATTTAAACACTTCGGTAACAAGTAAAAAAAACTAAACAACTGCAGTTCTGGAAAGAGAAGTCTAGGAGAAGACCTGATCAAAGTGCTCAGTATCTTCAAAGGCTTGTTGATGGATATGGATACTCTTGTCCAACCCTACTGATGTTATTAGAATGAACACTGAAACATAAACGAGAGGACACAAATGAGAACCAAAGGGAAGTGCATTTAAAGCAGAGAACAGGAGTCATTTCTCACACAATGCATTGTTTGAGTTTGGAACAAGCTATGTTGCTGATATGTTGATATATTTGCTTCCTTCAAGAAATGGCTGGACATAACTTAAGCTACTGAAAACATAATAAGCTATAATGGCCTTCTCTTGTTTGCAACTGATTTTATTAAATTGGCTTTACCCTTGTAATTCACGATTTGTAGTTAGTACACGCATGCTCCCAGACATGTTGCACTCATTCCCTGTGAAAAATGTATGGAATCGTCTGTAGTGCAATCATTCCAAGGCATTAGGAAATAGTTTCAATGAACTAGTAAAAATCTCAAAAGAAACTATTTTGTTTTTAGAACAAACAAAAATGAAACACTCAGTCATCGGTGTCGATGGGAAAATGGTACATTGATTTTTAAACTAAAACTAAACAAATCTTACTGATTTTGTGTAGATTTGAATCTATTTGCTCTTCCCTCCAAACCAGTAGAAATAAAAGCATATTGGACATCCTCTGTAGCTAACTCAGTTTAAAGGTTAAGATATAATTCTGGATTCTGTTGTGTTTTCTTTCTATAGAATTGTTTCGCATGTACTTTACATCATACAATATATTACAGACACACTGCCCTTGGTCCCAAATGGTACTAAAAAAAGTTTTTTTTTTAAAGAAGTATCTTACCTACTAAGACGAAACAGCCTGTGAATATCCACTCAACCAGCAGCAACGAAGAAATTCAGTTTAGGCGTTTGAAGGGGAAAATAAACCTACTTTCTATACATCCGATAAATGCCCTCTTTCCTTGTGAAGTACAGGGAGTTACTGTGTACAGTACGTAACGGTTTCTCTGAAATGCCGAACTGTTTTGCATGCTTTTAAAGACACAGGACTACAGCTGCATACGTCAGCGGTCCACCCCGCACAAATTGACTCCGGACTATCGAGCTGCTCTGCGTCTCTCCTCTGATCCCTCCGGGCTCGCATGGCCCAGAAGGCGAGGACGCGCTTACAAAACGGGGGAAGTTGTGGGTTCGGAAATTAACCACCTAGCTACTGTATGCAGCTGAAGCTAATACCCCTTCTTTCATGAAGACAGCTAGATACAACCTTCGCATGAATTAGGCATAATATACTGTACTGTATACCCAGGTAATCGTGCCGGGTTGCCGCTTTTCGTTTGCAGTATTTTTTTATGTTCTCATAATGAATGTCACACTTCAGCAGCGCTGAGCAGAAGCGCAAAGTGCCGGTGGAACTGCAAGATGATAAAGCGCTATTTACACAGCTCAGCGTCTGCTGACCGAAATAACCGAGATGAAGATCAGACGCCCGAGTCCAACAAGGACATTATCAGTCAATCGGTCCATAATCATTTCACAAACGCACTGCAGAAAAATAAGAGAACTAAAAGATTCAAAAAGCAATGCGAAAACTTGAAAGGATTTTTTTTTGTTTCCTAAATGGAAGATCAGCAGGGGAGGAATGTCAGGAGAGAGTGGCCGGGAGATGGGGGTACTTTGCTCTGTGAAGGCCACAGGACTAGTGGGAAGTTTTGTCTCTCTTGGGTTATAATTATAAAAGTGTATCATTATTATTATTGTTGTTGTTGTCTGTTTCCCTGTATCAAGGGTGTCTGCAAAACTAATCCAGCAGATTAAAAAAAACTATAAAAAGAATAGTTGGGATGATAATACAGGTTGAGATATTTGCTTCAGGTTGGTAAAGTGGTCAGCGTTGCTGCCCCTCAGCGTTTCTGAGGTGCTGTTTGTGTGGAGTTTGTATGTTCTCCCTGTGTTTTTGTGGGTTTTCTCCTGGTTTCCTCCCACGGTCCAAAGGCAGACTGGTAGGTTAATTAACTTCTGGGAAAACTGGACCTGCTGTGTGCACTGCAATGGACTGTTATCCTTTTGCCCTTTGCATGCCTGGTATAGGCACAGGCTCCCCGCATGACCCTCTGCTGGATCAAGTGGTTAGAAATTGGAGGGATATACAGTATATTTGGACCAGGTGGATATTTAATTGTCTACAACAATAAGAAAGAGGCATTTGTCTGCTTTTTACTCTAGTCAAGCACACTGCTAAAGGCTAGTTTATCCTACCGTTTTTTCTATGAGGCCTTAAAAGCAGGTGTTCAGGTGTCTACCCACCAGGCTGGACTCTCAGACAATGGCAGACACTCAAGACTTTGGGACAAATGAAGAAAAGCAGATGTGGCTTGGAATATTGGAAAGTGTGTGAAAGTAAAGATGAATCTGCGGAGAGCCACAGCATCCACATTTCACAAGGCTCCTGCTAAATAATGCATTTCACATGTGAGAACTTGCATGTACAAATTTGTTTTTGCTAATGAATGACAGTCATTCCCATCTTTTCCTATGAATATAGGAAATCATTGCTTTAAAAATAAAACTTCCTAAAACATTTTTGTTTGCTAATCTGAGAAGGTCACATTAGCCAACATTCTTAGGAACTACTAGAACATTTGAAGTGCTTAGTTTAATAAATCAGCGTTTATTTCACATCTTGAGTCATTTACCACATTAAAATATAAAGTACATACTTAAGAGGGCCTTGTTGAAGGGTGTTTTTTCTGGTCTGAATTAGGTTTTGTTTTCAATTAAAAAAACAATGATAGGAGTAAATAAGTCGCATTTCAATATAGGAAATTACTGCAGTTTCTTACAATGTAAGAAATCTTTGTCCATAAAAGGAGATAACTGTCAGTTAAACATGCTTTCTGAACACCATACGCAAAACATTCCTCCACTTGAAGCTGAATTAATGGAGAAAAACACATACCGACCTTATTCAGCTAGACATACATTAGTACTATATTTGTTCACTTCACGTCTGAAGCCAAATTGGAGAATTAGATTAAACACTTCCAATCTCTGTATTTCCTGGCAGCAAGCCTTCAGTATAAAGATAAATCACCATACACAAACAGGTGCATTTAAGGAGCTATCTTTTGCAGCTGAAGTGATATAAGTCAAAACCAATGAGATAGAATATAAAACCCTATCACAGATGATAGTACTGTAAGTAGTAAGTAAATCTCGCATCACAGTTATCTGTGAAGTTTTTAAGCTTGATTCATACTTTGTTTTGTCTTCCCACTTCTTAAGAATCATGTGGGTTGTTATCAAGAACTCTTTGATAATGTAGATATATCATACTAAGCCTTTATCTCATCGAGTTTTATCTTTGATTCTTTAAAGGACTCCTTCTAAATCCATGCAGAATATTACTTTTGCTTACTATATACGTTACATTACACTCACAGAGCCCACAGCTCTTGTGCTCTGGGTTTGATTCTGACCTGTGGTGCCTGCTGTGTGGAGTGCCCTTTTTCTGCTGGGTTTTCTCTTTGTGGTCTGGTTGCGTCCCACATTAAAACCAATGCCAGCTGGGTTCATAGGTTTCCGAATTGTGTCTTGGTCCTCTAATGGACTGGTGAGCTGTCTGGAGCCCAGTGCTTCTGGAATCGTCTCCAGTTTACTGCCACTATTGCAAGAAACAAGTGGATTTTTGTCAGTGCATGGCTAATTTTACTAATTAGACTTCAAGCTAATTCATTGTCCATTTTGTATAGTTTTCAAATATTTCTGGTTTTCTGGTCAGCAGGTCTAACACCCCATCTAGCAATTTCAAAAATATATTTGAACATGCCATGTAATATCTAACCTTTCTTTTTGTACAACATAAGGAATCAGACTGTGTGTGTTTTAATTTTACTGGAGATCATTTTTTTATCTCTTTAATATGTTTGTATGTAATGCTATATTGTCAGGAGACATAATGCATGTGTTTCACACTGGCATATTGTTACACTATATGCTGAAACAGGGTGCATGTACAATATGTGAAGTTAGCTTTAGAAGAATAGTTGGTTTATCCTTTTAAGGCAGTCTCATAGTTAGGACTCATTTTTAAATGAGTGTACTGCTATAGACTGCAATGGAGCATTAATCCCCAAAGTAGATGAAGTGATTCTTTAATTACATGAAGGCACTGCCTTGTATCATGTCAGTCAGAAGGTTTGCCAAGCAGACGGGAAGGGCTCCAGGACACAGACATTGCTGGATTCCAGCTATAATTAGCCAATTAAAAGTGTTGGTGGAGCTGTAGTTATCTTAAACAGGATTCCCAAAATACTTGTACTTTTTCCGTGCTTCCCTGGCATCTGTCAATCAGTTATCATCTTGTCTACAGGTAAATCAGAAGAATTATTGCAATAAACACTTCAATCTTTTCTATAAATACTGTATTTACTTTAAAAAGTTGTATTCTCCTCAAAATGGGCACAAGTGTATAAACTGATTCTAGTGCATTAGTTTAGTGTTGATTAAAATATGATATACATATGGTATACTGTGTATATACAGAATTTTACAACATGTTACAACATGTTGTACAGTATGTGATAAAGAAACAATATCAGAAGGCTTAATAATGTAGTACTGTTCAGATGCTGAAGCCTCTGGTTTCAACTTTTCTGTACTACTTCATGGACTAAACCTATTGGAGTCATTCTTGTACCTGAAATACAAATTTGTCTTCATTTGCTTGGCTTTTGTTTAAAATAAAAGGATGATCATTTAAATCTAATTCTCACCTTTATTATGTAATGAATATGATAATTTTACTGATTGTATGTTCTCTGACAACTGATCAAACTAAGAAAGATAATGGCCACTAATTAATAGGAACAAGTAAAGGTTTATTCCATGCTGAAAAGAGAAGAAAGGAAACACAACTTTTGGCTGTGGAGCCTTCTTGTGTGAGCCTTCTTTGGCACTAATTAATAGTAAGTACAATCACAAATTGTAACATAGCAGGAGGCTCGGTTTATAACATTTAAAAACTTCTACCTTATAAGAACATATGGCTTATAGCTAGAGCATCAGGTGAAATGCTTGTTAAATGTTATTTGCACTTTAAAAGAAAAATAACTACTTCCATCTGATAGCATTTTAAAATAGCAATTGGAAGGCAAAACCCACCTCCAGTGAGATTGTAACCAGAGATTGCAATGCAGAAACAAAAAGGTTCCAATGGGCCAGAAAAGTCTATCGAGTGAGAAATACATTGAGTCTTAAAGGATCAGCAGTCTATAGTTGTGCTTGGGACTGTTGCCAGCTTTCTACTCGTCCAAAAAGAAAGATTAATGTATAAGAACATCTGTTCCGAATGCGAGTTGGCCTGTCAGCCTCTCTTGCTCATTTGGTTTTTAGTTGCTTATTGATTGAAGGCTTTCATCCTTCTGGCACTTGAAGGATTCTAGGGAGTCTGGAATGTTTGTTCATCCCCCACAGAGTAACCAGTAAGTTGTAGGAAAGATGAGAAACAGATCAAACCCCAAATTAGAATATTTAAAGACAAAGTTCAGAAATGTTTCTTTTTGTGAGTGCTGTCCTTGATTTTCACTCTCATGATTTGTAATAAGATGCTCAATCTTTTGATTTCTTTAAGTATCATTTTAGCAATTTAAGTGCCACTTCAATTAATGTTTAAGTTATGTTTATCCCTTGACCTGTAAACAAGTCAGATTAAATGTTTTTATATTTTATTACATAAAAAGTGATAAGTACAGAGAAGAGTGTTTTGTGTTTAGAATTTATGTTTTAATTTAGCTGATGTTAATTAACTGTTAAATTTTTCATGCATTACTGTATATAGCAGCTTTACTTGCTTTACAATACAAATGGGTACCTAAAATACAATGGTACCCTTTAATTGTGACACACTTATGTTATCAATTATGCATGAGGTATTCCTTCCAGCAAATGTATGTTTGCATGTCCCTTATTTAGTTAAAAAGACATCTGTTACAGCTAAATGTTGGTTAGTCTCCAAAACTAAATGACTTCTATGAGGACTGGGCCAATCGGAGAATCTTAGTCTGTATATTGAAAAGTAGATGAAGTATTGCTCCAGATTGGGAAAAAAAACTGAAAGAAAACCCACAGTCCCTCATTCACAGCAACAGCACATGAACAGAAACTGTGTGCTGTTGCTCCTCTGAGCTTTGCAATATATTTTTTGCCTGCAGTAAAATATTCTAGAGGAGTAGAACCCCTCCAGCAAATGTCCTTGGTAATGCTTGAAGATTAATAGTAATGTAAGAGTTGTTACTGTTAATAAGTAGTCTGGTGCTCAGTGGAGCCAAGATGCGAGTCATTAGTTCTAAATTTCCAAAAGCAATCTGTCCTTTACACGAAGGACAACCCGAGTGTGTCTGTGACAGAGACTGTTATGTGTCCACTAGAAAAACAAAGTTAGAATATTGCATATTATTATTTTTTGAGTGCCAAACATCACACACACACAGTAAATATTGTCCAATTGTCTGCAAGCATTTAGAGGCAGAGGGAGAGGACACAGATGTACTCTGTGAATAAATTCTGAGTCTTAGATGTAGCCGATTTCAGTCTCCAGCAGTCTGAAAGTTGCCATGTAATTATGAAATCGGACAGCTGCCAGCTCTATTTAACATACCAGGCACCACTTCTTAATTACTACCAGGCACGTGTAAATATAATTAAAATCCTC